GCACTCCTGTACCTTGTGTTAACACTGATTTAATTACTAAATTCTGTCTTTTAGAAAGACACTGCTGTAGATGCTGTAGAATAAATGCTCGTGTCTCATCACCCATGAATTTCCTCTGGAGTACTCCAAAGGGTCAACACATGGAGCCCTTAAAGCCACTTTTGTATTCATATTTCACTCTATATTTGTGGGTAGAAGCTATATCTGGATTTTAAAAATATAATTGGCAGATTTATAAGGATTTAAATAAACCTAAAATTTGAAAATGTCCAAGAAACATTAAAATTACAATATATATATACAATACAATATATGCAGTTGTGCAGCAATTAAAAAGTCTTCAATGGAAGCCTGAAGCTGAGCCCTAATTCATCAGTGCCAGGATGGGACAGGTTGACTTGCCAGCCAGAGTAATTAATGGCAATGAGGCAAAAGCAAAGCTTCCTGCCAACTTACATATGTTCAGATGTATACAATTCAATCTGAAATCATTTGATGAAGCATTTATAGACTATTTAATAAGTATTAGTGATAGAATAGAAGTTGGAGAGATAAATTCATGGTTAAGAGCACTTGCTGCCTTTCCAGTGGACCTGACTTGATTTTTCAGCACCCACACTACCTCTTACACCTTCTAAAACAGCAGTTTTAGAGAATTCAATGCCCTCTTTTTGCCTTGGTGGGCACTACACACACATGCAGTCAAAACACAATACACATAAGACCAATAAAAATAATAAAACTTATAAAAGGAATGCACAAATTCTACTAGGATTTTAGCTTTCTAAATGTTTATATAAAATATTTTTAAATGAATATCCTAAAATCATACAGTAGTTTTGATTTCTCCTATTAAATATAAGAATTTTACTTATAAAGAGCATATTGCATGTTTTGTTATGACTTCCAGATTTTATTCTGAATAGCATAAAAATCTCATAAAGTTAAATCATTATAGTTAATGCTTATTTCACTGAAAACATTTTAAGCAGAAAACTGATGACTTGTCTCTGACTCTAGTTAGCAGGGTAATGCAAGTTTCATAAAGTGAGTTTGGAAGTATTTATTTATGTTTTATTTTTCTGCAATATATTAGATCCGACTGCAGTTTCTCCTCCCTTCTCTCCTCCAGTCCCTTCCCCCTCAATAATCCAATCCACCATTTCCCTTCAGAAAAGAACAGACCTTGACATATCAAGTTTCAGTAGACTATGCACCCCCACCCCCTCACCCACTCACCTCATATTAAGGCTGGACAAAGTAACCCAGCTTGAGCAACACCATCCTAAAACCTAGTAAAAGAGCCAGGGACAGCTCCTGCTCCCATTGTTAGGAGTCTCGCAAGAACACCTTGCTGCACAACTGTAACATATATGCAGAGGACCTGTCAGACTCATGCAGATTCTCTGACTTTTGGCTCAGTCTCTGTGAGTCTATGTTTGCCCTGGTTGTAGGTTTGTGTGTGGTATCCTCCTATGTCCTTCCTTCCCCTCTTCTGTAGGATTCCACCAACACCTTCTCATATTAGTTGAGGATCTGTGCATCTGCTACTTTCAGTTGCTGGATGAAGTCTCTCTGAAGATGATTGTGCTAGGGTCTGGTGTACAAGTGTGGCAGAGTATCATTATTGGTCATGGTATTCGTTTGTTTGTTTTTGGTCAGTCATTTTTGATCCTATTCTTAGGTCTGTAAGCAATTTAGGCTCTGATTCTTGGTCCATTGAGCAATGTCAAGGGTGAGCTTCCTCTTGTGGCATGGGTCTCAAGCTAGACCAGTTCATTGGTTGGCCACTCCTATAAGTTCTGTACTACCTTTAGCCCAACACATCCTGTAGGCAAAGACAAATTGTAGGTTGCAGGCTTTGTGGCTGTAGTGTCCCAATCCCTACATTGGAAACTTTGCCTGGTTACAGGCAAGTAATCCCTATCCATATTACAGTGAGTTTTAGTTAAGGTCGCACTTGTATACTCCTGGGAGATTCCATTGCATTGGGTTTCCACCATGTCACTGAAATGCCCCCAATTCTGGTAGTGTCTCTCAGCACTTGCTCCTTCCATCTCCCCATCCCTCATGTTCCCATCTCCACCCACTACCACCACATCCTCAGATTCTGTTCTATTTCTCCTTCTCAGGGAGATCCATGCTCCCACCATGAGCCCTCTTTGCTCCTTGGTGTCCCTGGGTCTGTGGAATGTAACATGGTTCTCCTTTACAGCTTATCTCCACTTACAAGTGGGTATATATCAAGTTTGTCTTTCTGGGTCTGGGCTGGAGAGAGATGGCTTAGTCATTAAAGGCTAGGCTCACAAGCAAAAATATAAGAGTTTGGACATATATGTATTTTTACATTTTAGAAATATTTGTAGATAATTGTCACTAATTATTCTTTGAATACTAGCAGACTACATCTATGAAGGAATATGCTACTACGGCATTCTATGAGACTTTTTTATTAGAATTCATATATTTGTCTATGTTTTCATCTTCATCTTGAGTCACATGTTGAGGCTGCATGTCTTTAAGAATGCATCTCTTTCCTCCAGTTACGCATTCTGTTGTATAGAATTATTCATAATAGCTCATTATAATCATTTGTGGCTTCCAAGACCTCTATGCTAATTCTCTTAGCTTATTTGGATCTTCTTTCCTGTTTAGATTAGGGGACTTTTGACTTAAGTTTTCAAAGAAACTTTTTATTTGCTGACTTTTGTTTTTTATATTACTTATGTTTGTTCTGATATTTTTATTTCCTTTCTTATGATAATTTGTAGATTTGTTTGTTCTTATTTTCCTCAGTCATTGAGAGCTTTTTTGGCTTTTTTCTTTATTTTTAATGGTGACTAACTGCATAAAATTCCCCTTTAGGGTTCTTTCTTGGAATCCTACTAGGTCTGATTTATTATATTTTCATTTTCATTTTTCTCAAGACATGTTTAAAATCCACTTTTGATTTCATGTTTGGCTCAGTCATTGTTGAAGAGAATTTTGTTTAGTTTCTATGGGTTTGTGGATTTACCAGAGTACTTCAGTACTTCTTGCTATTGGTTATTACACATTTCATTTCACCATATTCTGCAAAGACACTACAAAACACCAGTTTGTGTCTTTGAAGAATACTGGTGAAAAGATCCTTGAAAATGATCAGAAGATTACAGAAGAGTCTGGATTTTAAGTCTTCATTGGAAGCCTATAGCTCTGCCCTAATTCACTAGTGTCCAGGATGGGACAGGTTGACTTGCCAGCCAGAGTAATTAATGGCAAGGAGAAAAAGCAAAGCTTCCTGCCAACTTTTATCTCGGCTGCTCACATTTCAGAGTGACTTTTCTTGTTCAAATAATGTGACCAAGAAAATCCCTCAAAGGAATTCCATAATTTCCAGAACTCATATAATTCTTGCATATAGTTTCCTCACTGTATTTTCTTCCTCAAAATGCCTTCTTTTATTTACTATTAATACATTTAGTACCAATTTTTTTAAAGTTCTAGTTAATAATTTTAATATCTGAGCTAGTAAGTTTTTGTCAACACAAACTCAGACATATCTGGGAACAGGGAAGGTTGGTTGAAAAAGTATCTCTGTAAGATTGGTCTGTAAGCAAGTCTTTACTGATTGATAAGGATGAACCAGATCACTGTCGACAGTGTCACTGCTGGGCAGGTGGCCCTGGGTTGTTTAAGAAAGTAGGTTAAGCAAACCCTGAGGAGGAAGTAGGAAGTGTTCCTCCTTGAGAGTTATAAGCTATAATAAATACTTTCTTTTCCAGTTGTTCTTGGACATGGTATTTATCAAAACAAAAGAAACCTATCCAGGACAATATCTTAGCTTCTTTCTAGCTTTACCAGTAATAAAAATAAAAGTTCAGAAGTAATACTCCATAGGTGATGATGAAACTATGTAAACTGCTGAGACATGAATTCTCTGAATGTGCCTTAGTTCATAATTGTTTTGTATAATTCATAATGGCTATGACATATACTTTACAATCATATTAGGAATATGAATCCTAAAAAAATTCTAGCAGGCAAAGTTCACATTCAGTTCTAGCAGGTACTTTGGGTTGCTTGATTTATTAATTAAATTTTTAGTCACTTGCTGTCACAGCATACAGATAATAGTGAAGTTTAAAATATTACTGAAATTTTCATAGAAAACACTTATTATATACAGAAGTTGAATCATTGATGCTTATGGTGTATATAGCAAATTACTATAAAAATAGCTCAAATTAATTTTTAAGTTCACAATAAAGAAATAACTTCTCTAAGAGACAAATTGTTTTACTCAAATTTAAACACTGTAATTAATATGTATACATATACCTGCAGGTGCACATATTGACCAGTATGGTCCTGCATTATATAGATTTTTTACTTAATTTACTGTTTCTCTATGCTGATTAAAATCTGTTCCAAATGAAACATATACAGAACTGGGGCACCTAAGATTCAATGCACACTGCTGAAGAGAAGGCAGGAAGACTGTGTGAGACAGCAGAAGAGGGGATTTGCTGTGAGGCTTTGTCTCCTTGTAATTTCAGAAGTTACATCCTTAAAGTTTCATCAACATGGTTGCCTAAACATGAGCTGAACAAGGGCAACAACAACAGACGTTTTAACTTGGAAGGGAGAAAGAATTCAAGGCCTCAGCCCTTCACAAAGAACTATAGGCAGCTAAGGAATGCTGAGAGCAGAAGAAACAGACTTCCCTAGGAAAAAGCACATCAACTGGCTATTCAATATCAAGTGGTCAGCCTTGAAATTATGCATATAAGTAACAGTATATAGAAAAGACTGGTTATATGTATGGACATGTATGCATATGCATATATGCATGTAATAACTATTAATAAAAATGTCCATGAAATTGAAATATAGTAAGGAGGAGTGTATGCAAGGGCTTGGGAAAATAATTTCATTAAATTGCAAACCTTACTATACCTCTAACTAAAGTACATATTTTAAGTTGAATTATTATAATAATTGGACAGTATGTTCCACTTTAAATATTTTATTTTATAGGAAATCACAATTTTATCAAGTGGAGAAGCTTAGTGCTTATCCTGGTGAGGTGGTGAAGAGGAGTTCAGAATACTGCCACTAGATCGGGAGAACACCTTTGACAGAGTTGAAGATACCTTTGCCAGCATTTTAGACCCTTGCTTGGAAATAGTGTTCTTGGATGTTTCTGTGGAAAAAGACAGTATTAATAAAGTGAGAGATAACTGAAGTAGTTACATTATAGCAATGGTTTAGAACTCAGAATTTGGCATCTGTAAACTAATTTGTGGAAACTAAAGCAGAGTTACAGTGTCTTCACTTGACTTGTTATATTCCCCCCAAGGAAAGATGCAGAGCATTGTCTTTATTTATGGGTGATGTGTTTTGGTACTGTCAAAGACCTTGTCTATAAGTCTAAGCTAGGAGTACAGTTCAGTAATTTTGTCTCTCATGGTGTAGTATTCACTTGACCTTGAGGCATCTTCCAAGTAAGTGTGTAAAGTCCACTTCTTGTCCCTCCTGAAAATATTTGAAAATGCCTAAGGAACTGAACAGGGAGATACCGTACAATGCTCTTATGTGGATTCTACTTTCTAGTGCTCAAGTGTAAGAAGAAATATAGTAGGGGCTGTGATTTCTCTATTTTGTATAAATTTCCTTTTGAAAGTCCATAGGTATATTTCTTCACCATGTAAGATATGACTGCATAGATGTTGAAAATGACAGAGTTTAGATTCCGTTTTCTGTATCAGATATTAATAACCCCCGAGTCTTTAACCAAGTACCTCAGTTTATGAAAACATACAAGAGGTCGAAGTCCAACATTTTCCTAACTTCAATATATAACTTTCAAAAGTTGGGAATATTCGTATTTGGTTTCTCTTAGAGAGAGAGAGAGAGAGAGAGAGAGAGAGAGAGAGAGACAGAGAGAGAGAGAGAGAGAGAGAGAGAGACAGAGAGAGAGAGACAGAGAGAGACAGAGAGAGGAGAGAGGGAGAGAGAGAGACAGAGAGAGAGAGACAGAGAGAGAGACACACACAGAGAGAGACACAGAGAGAGAGAGAGACAGAGAGAGAGAGAGAGAGAGAGCTCTGAAAATACTAAGAATCTAGCATTCTGGTGATGAATGGGTCTTGCCAGTTCCACTGAGTTACAGTCATTATTACATTTGCTCAGGAAGCCATACTTTCTTGTGAACAATGCTGCTTCTAAATGACTGTAGGCCATAAAAATCCTGGGGGGATCTATGTAGCTCAGCAGCTATGGACAGCTCACTATGGTTTTCCTCCTCAATTATTTCTACTTCTTTAGTAGCATATGGATAGCTGTGGCCTAAAAATGTTAGTTGTATCATCTGTTGCCCCTTCATGTCAAAAGTTAAAGACAATTTGTATAATAATCTAAAGATTTTTTTATTTAAATAGTTCGGATAGTATATAATCCCATATTAACAATGTACAAGACAAGGGCCATTCATCCTGGAAGGATCAGTGATAAAAATGTCTACATTCACAATAGTATTAATAAGAGTTTTATTTCAATAGTTGCTAAAAGTTACTGTATTTTGTACCTGAAATGTGTTCCTTTGAGGGGCATGCACTGCTGGCCATATTTTTTGATCCTTCAAAGATGGTGACAAACTGCCAAGACAAATTGGCATACTTAGTCATTAGATAGTAAAGATTACATATGCCGAGAAATACCTAAATAAATATAAAACATAAAATTTCACCCAAGTGAAATCTGTATTCTTCTGTTTCAAATAAGCCCCCTCTGAGCCTCAGGCAGGTTAACTTTGCCAGTTATAGTTCTGAGGATTTGTTTATATGATGGGTGATGACCTTGGGTATAACCACATGATGACCACAGGCAGACCTGTATTGACTCTTGGAAAAGGTTAGCGGTTTGCCCACATCTCCCTTTGCATTCATTGACATACATTGCAAACATGTCTGAGAAAAGAAAAAAGTATAAGGAAAAAGCCAGAATGCTTTGCTCTGCAGCTCTCAATTTTCTCTATGGAAAGTTTAATAATTACAGGTTCTGAAACAACAGTCACTTCTTATTTTGGTATTTGCAGGAACAAATTCTGTAAAAATATGTCTGATTGGTTTGAATAAAGCACTGTTGGCCAATAGGGAAGCAAGGTAAGTGAGACTAGAAGTCAAGGAGGATTCTGGGAATGAGAGGCACAGTCAGAGACAATGTAGACTACTTGAGGAGTAAGGTAAGAGAATACTTAGATTAACAATTATGGGTTAAATACTTAAGTCAGAGCTAGCCAGTAAGAAACTAAGCAAACGGCCAACATTTTCATAATTAATATAGCGTCCTGTGTGCTATTTGGGGATGGCAACTGTGGCAGGGCCCAGGTGGCTGGCTAGGGAAAAACCAAAGTGGCAGGCAAGGAAGGATACACTCTACTCTAGTTTTAATTTGGAGACCTGTGTCATTTTTCTAAATTAAGAGTAGCAACTGATCCTAAAAGACAAAATTTGGCCACTACCAAGACTCAAGTTCTCAAAACCTTTTGTCAAGTACTCAAGAGAAACTTCACACAGATAGGTGAGTACTACCTTTCCTCTGCCTCTCTATAATTTGCCTTATTTTGGACTCTTAACAGACCTTGTCCATTTAATTATCTGGTTAAAATGCCCTAGGGCTCTAGTCTCTTATATGTTATGTTTCATACTCCTTAGGATTGCATCCACCTCCATTGTTCCATGACAATAAACAAAGAATAGAAACAAAACAGGTCCACCTCATAGTGTTCATCACCTTGGTAGTGTTACATTCCCTGCTAAGAAAGAATACACTTCCTCCCAAATTTATCTTCATGACTGACACTTGTCAAGGTAGCAGGTAAAACAATCCATCCTCTACCACTCATGGGTTAAATACCAAGGCTGTGTAAGCGAACTTCATTCTATTGGGTTTTTTCCTATGAAATTTTCAAAATTGTGCCAGCAAATAGTGATAGAAATTAAAAAAAAATGGTACTGACTGCTCTTTGAGATTTGATTTCCGTGCCTAAATGTCTACTATTTATTTTCACATCCTCAGTATTGTCTACAGTTTTCAGTTATAATCAACTGGAGAATATGTGTATGTGAAAAGTACTTTATTTAGAAATGCACTGAGTAACAATTTTGACAACAGTTTGGACATGGAAAAGGTAACAAACTAGGAAAGTACTACAGGGAAAGGGTATAGACTATCTAGGAATTTAGCATCATCCAAAGAATGTTAATGACTACTAGACTAGAACTTCTTCCATTGACATATGATTTTATTTTCTGCAAGGTATGAGTTAACTGAGATTGGAGATTATTAAATAGATGCTAGCATTCATAAATAAAAATGAAACTGAGTGGAGAAGTAACTGGTTTCTTTGGAAAAATGACAAAAATGTCTTTAAGTGTGATCCAGAATGTTATGAATTTGATCTGAAAATGGTAGTATATTTTAATACTTGAAAGCGGCTGAGTTCCTGGGGAATTTGTAATTCTGTTTTTGTGGATGTGGGGGAAATTATGGAACTGGATTAAATTAAACCAAGAAGATACTGTGAAAAAGAATGAAACAAATAAAAGATACAGCAGGATCTACAAAAGGGTTGAGGAAGAGGAATGTAGAAAGAGCCCAGTGTAGAAGATAGCAGGATGTGAAGTGTCAGTCAGTATGAACATGGCAATATGGGTGACATCAGGCATCTATAGTCCTCTTGACTCATCCGTGAAGTTGCCCTATGTATCCTGTCTCCATTTACCACATGATAGCTGGACCCTTAGCCTGAGGCTAAGCCTTTAGGCTTTTCCTTAGAACAAGAACAAGCTATTAATGGAATTGTCACATATTGAGAATCAGTAACTTACTCTGCTCACCCAAATAATGAATTCTTATGAGAATCCAAGTGTAAGAAACTTTCATAAAGGGACTTTTCAGGTATTAAGGACAGGTCTCATTCAGATGCAGAGATCTGAGTATGGCTTGACTGATTATGAATAGGTCAGTGTTTCCTGATTTGCCTCAGTAATTCTGGCAACTCAGGCTGTGATAGAATTTGAAAACTGAGCTACTTTACAGCTAAACCCCAATGTACAGAAGTTAGAGGATATTAAAAAATATTACCTGAACACTGCTTGAGTTCCCTGCATGTGGTTCCTGAGAACATCCTGTGAAAGTCATGAAAACATACTTTTTCTTACATATACACATTCATAAACACACACACATATATAATTGTTGATACAAATCCAGTATTTTCACCTCAAATAATATAACTTGGCCATACAGAGTTATTATTATTTTAATTAATTGACAGTTGTAACAAATTTGAAACAAATAGGAGCCCTAGAATGTTATGTCATTTTTGCTTCCACTTGGAAATGAAAGATGAGTATGATCTTGTAAAAGAGAGATTACTTAAATGATAGCTACTAAGGCCCTTTTGAACTTTAACATGTTTTATATTCATCTAGTTACAAAAAGGTGAGTCAGACATGGTGGCACACACTTTTAATCTCAGCAGAAGCGGTCTGATTTCTATGAGTTCATGGCCTGTTTGGTCTCTACAACAATTTCCAGTTTAGCCAGAACTACATATTAAGACTCAGTATCAAAAACAAAACACATGCCAGAAATAGTAAGTGATGATGTTTTAAAACAGGGTGTCTCTGAGTTAATACTCAGAGAAAATCCAATGAGATCACTTCAGATCAAAAAGCTACATGGGGTTCCAAAGGAGGTCAATGCGTCATTGAAACAAGGGAGAAGAAAGAACTTTAAAAGATTCTCAGAGAACCATTTTCAGTGGGGAACTAATCTGCCAGCAGAGGATGTCTGTTGAGCCTTACCTTCATTGCTTAGAAGTGGGTACAAGTTAAATGTAACTTTTCTGACTCAGTTTCCTCATATGTAAAATGGGAATAAGATTATCTATTCTGACTGTGTTATAAGAAGACACAATGAAATACGACACACTCAGGTACTATGTCCTCTCTACATATGATGTAATCAAAAGCCATCAGAAGTGAATATTATAACTTTTGAGAGCAATAAAGATTATAGAAAAAAGTAAAGGCTAAACTTCAAGTAGGAATGATTGAGATATCTGGCAGTATTAATAACTTCATGATTAATTAATTATATTCCTAAAGGATCTGATTCTACTTTATATTTCACATGACTGAAATGACATTTTCTTTGAAATGGTGTTATATAAGAGCCCAAACTGTAAGCATCAGTTTTTTTCATGTTTCTACAGGGGATAGGCTTTGGGCTTTCAGGACTATCTAGAAAACTGCTTTGATTAAGAGGTATGTAAGAGTTCCAGTTATCTAAGTGGCTCAGCTATTCACACTTACTTGAAATTTTGTTTTATATTATATGAAAATAGGAATAAGTATATTCAGACAACCTCCATTGAAATCTCTATTGAAATATCCAATGGTTCACATGATGCTCAGCTTGAGTGTCTAATGGATACCTTAATCTCATAACCCAAACTGTTTTCCCCTGCTTCTTTCCCACTTATTTAGTTCCTTCCAGATCCTGTATTATTCAACGTTTTTAACATCTATATGCTGATGTTCTATTTCAGGCTTCAGTGGATACCAATTCACTAAGCTTGCATTCAATAAAAAGCAGTCAAGATCAATAATTAAAATACATGATCTTTAAGACAACTGCAGGAGAGAGAAAAAGGAAGCAAAGATGTGGCCTACTTAAGATCACAAAAGACAATTAATTTCACTTTCAGGGCCTGTGATCAGAAGAGTTCTTTCTGGGATAGTGAAGTGGAAAAAAATCTACAGGTGAAGGAAAAATAAGGTAGACTAAGGGGAAAGAAAACTCCAAAAGTCTTGTCAAGTGAAAGGCTGTCTAGGATTTAAGGATGGCAAAGAGGTCTGGAATTAGTTTGTTGGAGTAGAGGAAGCCACAAGGAAAACAGAGGAAGAGTTAAGAAAGGCAATTGGAGTAGTATAAGCTAATGATAGGAGGTCTTGTAACCATTGTAATATCTTGAAATTTAGTCATTAGTAAAATTGGAATGGACTTAACAACCTCTGGATTTATCTTATATTCTGATCATTGGACTCTTCAACTCAAGTTAACATGTAAATTCCATAAGAACAAACATTGTCTGTATTGATTACACAGGAATATTGTAACAACTTTGGAACTGTTTAGTGAATCTTTAGATTAATCAATGAATAAATGACTTGGTCAGTAACAATATCACTAAAAATATAAAAAAATATGCAAACATCAAAGTGAAACAAAACAAAATAGTACAAAAAAGTTAACCACAAGGAATGAGGCCCAGTGTGAACTCTTAGACAAAAAATTGGACATGTTAGACACTAATACCTTCACCTCCTGCTTGAATGTCTTCAATAATGAAATAAAAGAATTGCACTAAGTAGTTCCTAGCTGGATCTTGTAACTCACAATTCAGAACTCGGGAATCTCACATACAGATTATGATGTGTTGATGGTGTTCAGAAAGAATTGCTGCTAGCAACAGTGAAAATGATTTCTACATCCCAGTTCAGAGAAGGTTTGCTTGAGTGGATTGCAGAGAAACAATTATCATAAACTTGTGGCTTGAAATTCAAGGCCATGCTGTAGTAAAAACGACTTCTATACCTCTTCTACGTTTTGTTTTTCATTTAATCAGATATATCCCCCGAGAGCTGAACAAATATTGAAATAAAACATTCAAAAATGTGATTAACTGGTATTCATATAAGCTGATATTTAAAAACAAAAGTAAACAATTCATGCTAGCCAGTAATTATTGTGAGCAACTCTATTTAGTCTTTAAAAGGACTTTTGCATCTTAGTAGAGGTAAGTAGGATTTGTTATAAGGAAAGTATAACTTTTCAATGAGGTAATTAAATCCAGTTCTAGTCCCGGTGTAAATTAGCATAACACTTATAATAAATTATAATATCAGACTAAATTTATATAAAACAAAGGATTTGGCTTATTTTAACAGCTGGGTGACATAATAATGAGTCACTTCCTAAAAGTAGTTATACTTAATGGAGAAATAAACTACTATCAGTTTCAAGTTAATGACTAACATTTTCCCAGTAGGAAATAAATAAGTTATCAAAATAGTCAATAAAGTTACTTTTTCATCAGTTTCTAGAAGTTAAGAAAAATATCCAACCTTTCAATACTTTACCCTTTAGATCTGGTTTAAACTCTTCTGCTTCACTAAAATAAAATAAAAAAAGAACAATTTTAATATATTTATTTAACAAATTAGCTGCTGGTTAACAACAAGCTGCCATTTTCAAAATGGATGGAGAATGATTTACAAATTTATTTTCTCCATTTTAAATATATTATTAAATATACATAAAATTTACAACCTTAAAGCGCCATTAACCACATTTACATTACTGCACAAAAATTACTATCTCCCACCTCTAGACATGTTTGTACTTAAACACCAACACCCATTTTCCTTTAGAAAATGACTATTATAATTTGTATCTTTGGGATTTTGAATACTCCAAATAAGTAGAATCATAACTGTTTTTGTCATTTTGTGACTTATTCTAATTAGTTCAATGTCATCTATATTTATGTGTATTGTATTGGGTGAGTATTTTCTTTAAATAGTAGATGATATTCAAAAGAATAAGACACATTTTCTCATGAATTTATCCCCTGATGAACAATGATGGAAGGTTGTTTGTCTATTGTAAATCATGACATCTTGATACAGTTTCACTGACATCTGTTGCAGTAACTGTTTTCAGTTCTTTATGAGTATACTTAATTTATGGGCCACATGCTAATTCTTTAGGAAAGCTCCACACTGTTTTTCACAATGATTTCACAATTTTATAATTTTACTATCAGTGCATAAAGGTTTCGATTTAGATCCATCCTTAATACTTATTTTCTTTTCTCTCTCGTGCTCTCTTTTCTCTCCCCTTTCCTTTCAGTGACTGCCTTGATTTCAAAATGGTATCTTTTCTGATTTTGATTTACATTTCCTTAGTGATTAGTGATGTGGAGCACCTTTCATGTACTTTTTGTACATCTTTTTAGAGGATTTTTCTATTCAAATAATTTGTGTTTTTAAATTGTTTTTGTTGTTTTACCTTAAAGTAGGGAAGTAGTTTAGATATTGACCATGTGTATATATAAATATGTACATAATTTGCAAATATCTTCCATTCTTTGTAATGAATTCATATTGACCACATTGTCACACAAAGAATACTTCTTATTCTATTTAATAATTTATATGTTGACTTCTGTGTTTTATACTAATTCAGATAATTTGTGCTTTTATTTATATATTTATTTTTGGTTTTACGAGACAAGGTTTCTCTGTATTGTTTTGGAGGCTGTCGGTCCAGCCTGGCTTCGAACTCACAGAGATCCACCTGCCTCTGCCTCCTGAGTGCTGGGATTAAAGGCGTGCGCCACCACTGCCCGGCAATTTGTGCTTTTAAGATTGATTTTTGAGCACTCAAGCTTAACATTTTTCTATGTCTTCTTTGTATTCTTTTTGTAAGGCAGAGTTATATACCTTTAACTTACTTAACAAAGCTGAGCAGAAATCTTTCTGTACTGACAGCACACTATCTGCTGCTGACTCTATGGGTATCCATTGGGTTATAGTAACAACCACAAGCAGCAGCAGAACTCTATCACATTATCAAATATCTGATCCACAACATTTATATACAAGAAAGCAAGTGTCCAAAAGATATGTAGAGATCAGGTAACTAGAAGTACAGTATTGTGTGTTAAGAGAAAACTTAAAGGGTGTGGAGTCAAGGAATGGGACTCATAAGTGAGGAGGATTTGATGCTAGACCTTTTCCAACTACAGATTTACTAACACACTCATTCTTTCAGCTTAGATTACTAGATTTGTTCTGCATTAAATTTTATGTACCCAGAAATGAGATCTTCCTGGTTGTATGATGAGGTACTCATAATTCTGTGTATGAAGTAATGTGTTGGTTCCGTAGCAAGGCTTTCTTCTTTCTGCAAAATTATAGATCAGGTATTATACACAAGGAACTTGATATGTACATTTGCCCACATTGCCATTTTTGTATTCCAATCAATACTTTAATGGAAAGAAAGTTTTAGAGATTACTTACAATATTTTTAAAGTAGTAAAAATTGAGATGGTCTCAAATTCTGATTAAATTATCTCCTCTGAACAGGGGAGAGCTCTTGGACCCCAGACCGACAGTGGGGAGGCCAGCATGGGACTGATCTGGACCCCCTGAATGTGAGTGTCAGTGAGAAGGCCTGGGCAACCTATGGGGCCTTGAGCAGTGGATCAGTGTCTATCCCTGGAATACAAACAGTCATCTTTTGCCCATAGCACAAAAAGGGATGCTCTCTCAGCCTGGACTCTTAGGGGAGTGCCTGGACCCTACCCTGAGGGAAATGTCAGACTCTAGATATACCCTATGTGGAAGGAATTGGCAATAGGGTGGGAGGCTGGGGGGTGGGGAGTGCGGGAGGTGGAGGGAGAGGGAATTGGGATTGACATGTAAAACAGGCTATTTAAAATTAAAATAAAAAGTGATAATAAAAAAGAAAAAAATATCTCCTCTAGTGTAAGTTTTCTTGAAATTACCCTGTAAAGCTATTCTAAATTATAATACTATATTTTGAACACATTTTAAATATAAACCTAGTTCAGATACTGAAGAATGTAACATCCTATTTTAAACTTTAAAATATTTTAAATATAGTTTATTGCATTGAATAGAAGATCAGGGATACAACTCTAAACATCTCAAGAGCTTGTCTGATAAGACATTTTAACACATACTCTTATCTATTTGTTGCAAACTTCTGTGCTTCATATTTGACTGAAATTAGATATGTTTATTTTCTGTGGTTTATTGCATATTTTGTGTAGCATAAACACAATAGTACAAAAACCACGTGAGGATGTTTAATTCAGGCAATTGCCTCACTAGGAAATCTCATATGATTTCCAAAAATATGATTAGTATTGAATTTTGGACAGGGTAAAACCACAAGGATCATTTGATGGTTTAGATGCAGTAACATGAAGTGTACCCCATCATGATTAAGAAGCTTAATAGGTAAATATATTTCTGATATTCAAAACACCGTGTATAACTTGTTACATTTAAGAAAGTTTTCAAAATATATTTAAGAAAAACATTCGTCATGTAATTTATGAAGGTAACATGCCTATTAAGTTCAAGTCTGGTTTCAGACACATTGCAGGATATTTGATTAAACCATGAACTTTGAGATGGCATTATTTATTGGAAAATCCTGTGTCTAGTTGTGGTGTAGTTCTGATCTAGTGCATAACTTTAATCCAAGATCTTTCTGCTTGAATACTATAAATAGAAATAAATAAATCAACCATAGGTCAAGAGGAAAGCAAGTGAGCAGTTGATAAGAAGTAAGGATAGGATTAAACCACAGAGAGTAAGAGGGGGTTTCACAAGAAATAGAAGGGAAAACATTGAGTTTGAGATGGTGTAGAAGAAAGGTCTTTTTCTGGAATATCAGTGGAGGAAGGTCACCAGGTGCTTTCTCTGCCTTTCTGACCTAGTAGGCTTTAGCCCCACCATATGGCTCTTGAGACTTTATGGGTAAATTGAGCTTTTGAGATTGTTAAAAACAAAATTTGGTGCACAATGTGGGGCATGACCAGAGACAGAAATCATGCCAACTGTGAATAAACTGAAAAGACATCAGATTTGGTAAGACATCTGAGAAGTCCTCAAGGAAAGAATTAATATTAAAAAGAAAATATCCTTGCCGTGTCAAGAGTGGGAAATATCATAATATGGAGCATTAGGACCCTAGACTACAGATGGCTTGAAAACAGAAGAGAAAATGAAAAGATAAGTGACTTAACTGAGGTCGGCATATTATCAATTATAATTACTGTCAGTTTGGTAATTAATAATTTATCCTGAATAGCCACATTTTTTGTGCCAAATGTGAAATGGGGATTGATAACATGCAAGCCTTAGAAAGAATTATAAATGAAAATGAGAAAAATACTCAGATACAGAGCAATTTAGACAAGAACATACCATACCACTACTTGATGAAACTAAAGAGAACAGTCCAAGTGTTGTAGAATATTATTTAATGTTGTAGGAAGTGTTTATTTAATGATGCAAAGATATGTTGTATTCCTTTATGTTCATTTGTTTAACTGTGAAGCTGTGTTATTTTGCCTGTCTAAAACACCTGATTGGTTTAATAAAGACCTGAATATCCCATAGCAAGAAAGGAGATAATAGAGGCAGGACTGGCAGGCAGAAAAAATACATAGAAGACAGCATAAAAGGGTGATCAAGCAATGAGAAAATGAGGAGAGGAGGACTCCAGGGGCCAACTACCTGGCTACACAGTTAGTCATGGAATAAGAACTAGTAATATTACAGAGGAAAAAAGAAAGACAAAAGCCCAGGGACAATAGATAAGTGGGATGATTTAAGTTAAAAAAAAGTCTGCTAGAAACAATCCACGTTAAGGCCAGGAATTTATAATTAAGAATAAGCCTCTCTATGTAAGTTTTTGGGAACTGGGTGGCAGGTCCCCAAAGAACAAAGAGCCAAAAGAGCAAAAAACAACCAACAACAGCCAAGAGTGTTAGTAAGCCAAACTTAGTTTATTCAGTTACAATACAAAAACTACCAAGGTATAGTCATACCCAAGGTTATCAAGTTTAGGGGTGGTCATTAAGAAGTGGTCATTTCATATGGTATGCATTTACCCTATCTGAAACAGATATTAAATTCATGGGTAACTCAGAAAAGAATTATTCCCAAGATTGGAAACATTTGGCATTCACAATATTGGAAGTTGGTCCTCAGTTACAATGGTTGAATATGGTGGAAACAGGAAGCTAGGGCCATAGAATAACAAACATGTCTGGGAGTACTAATATTTCCCAAGATTGGTTCCTAGGTGAAGGTCAACATGCTGAGTTACAAAGGCAGCTTAAATTTGGTGATCACACCTTGGCAATATGCTGTTTAGCAGTTTTAAATGCTTGTCACAAGGTTGAATCATTTACTAAAATTATAAAAGTCCCAAAGAAACCTTTACTGCTTTTGTTTTTGCAAAGGTTGAATTCAGCTGTAAAAATAATAGTATCAAATCCAGAAGTCAGATAAATATTAATTGAATATTTGGCTTTTGAAAATGCTAAGTCACAATGCATTTATGATTAGGACTTCAAAGGCAAATCAGCAACAATAGATGAATGGATTAGAAATATGGATGTCACATTTATCATGTTTTTCTCATAGGAGAAATGTCAGATGTTTTAATTGTGGTAAGCAAGGTCATTTGAAAAGGGATTTTAGACAAGGCATTCCTAGAAACAATGTTTTTTTCTAGAGATAATACAAATATAAGGTTCCATCCTTCTCAAAGTGTGGGAATGGCTGTCTTTGAGCCAATGAATTCAGACCAATAAAGAACAGGCAAGGCAAACCCTTTACATCAGAAAATGTCAAGAGGCCTCCCACAGACCCCTATATCAAATCTGATATAATAATTCCCTGTTAGCATTGGAGACATTCATCCACAGGGCAATGAAAAGATTTAATGCCTGTTTTTTGTTTTGTTTTGTTTTTTTGTTTTTAAAACAGTGTTCTGGATGTAATCAAGGATAAAACACTTAAGCAGATAAAACAAAAAATTCAGGATAGAGCAGAAAACAAGTATTTTGGCAAACTGCTAAAAATGAAGAGAAACTAAAACTAAAATTAAATGATATTAAAGCTTTCCTAGTCACAGAATCAGATGTAACAATAATTTCATCTAAATCTTGACATCCTGACAGCCCTCTTTGGGAGGTAAATATCAGCTTCTAGGGATTGGAACTTTATAGCAAGTAAAACAAAGTTCAAGATGGATCCATTGTATAGGCCCAGAAAGTCAAATAGGATAATTAAAGCCATATGTGGCTAATATTGCCATGAATTATGGGTAAGTTGATGGGGAAGTCCTGTGTATATGTCAATAAAGCACCGTTGGCCAATAGGGAATCTAGGTGGGACTAAGGAGGATTCTGGGAAAGAGAGACACAGGCAGCCACAAGGTAGCTGCCATAGGAGTAAGAGGTCTGGACCCCTTTCTCTGGTAAGAGAAATACGTAGATTAACAATTATGGGGTAAATACTTAAGTCAGAGAAAACCAGTAAGAAACCAAGCAAACGGCCAACAGCTTCATAATTAATATAGCATCCTGTGTGTTATTTGGTGACTGTAACTGTGGCAGAGCCCAAGCAGCTGGCGGGGAAAAAACTAAAGCAGCAGGCAAGGAAGGCTACACTCTAAAGGAAGTGATTTGCAGCAGCAATGGAAAACACAGATTAATATTTCTCCAATCAAATAAACAAGCCATAAAATAAAAGATGCTTCTGAGGCAAAAAATGTTAAAAGCTATTATCAAGAAGACTCACACACAGATCATTCAGGTTGTACATAAATCTCTCTCTCTCTCTCTCTCTCTCTCTCTCTCTCTCTCTCTCTCTCTCTTTGTATATGTATGTACACCACACAATTGAAACCTATATATGTGACTCTGCCATGCCCTCTAGCACAAAGTAATGATGAAATTGATCAACTACTGATAGGAAATGTGCTAAAGACCTCAGAATTTCATAAAAAGACACCATGTCAAAAGCAAAGGTTTGAAAAAAAAGACTTTTTCCATCACTTGGCAACACACCTAGGATATTATAAGGAAATGTCTTACTTCATCTTTATATAGCAAACTCCACTACCTACAGGAAGTAGCCCAAGGGCTACTCAAAGGAATAAAATATGGCAGATGGATATGTTCCATTTTGTAGAAATTGGAAACTAAAATGTGTATACCACATCATTGAAACCTATTCAGGTTTTCAATGGGCAACTGCTTTGACTTCAGAAAAGGCTTATTTGGTAATTACATATTATTTTCTAGAAGGTATGGCCATCATGGGCATACCTGCACAAATAAAGACCGACAATACTCCAGCATATGTCTCTAAGAATATGAGACGTATTTTTACTTATTATAATAAAAAGCATATTACAGGTATTCCATACATTAGTTTTTTATCTAAATTATAGCTATAATGAACAAGGTTGTGTGGTGGCACATGCCTTTAACCCTACCACCCAGAAAAAACACCAAACTCAGATACAGCACCTAGTTGGTGTGTCGTATACTATAGAAATCACATACCTTGTTTACAGAATATTATTTTTAAAAACCTCTATATGGTTACTATAAAAGCAACTAACAGCAGTTTTTGTAACTCTGCCAGTAAGCTGTTCTCCATGTATGCAATCCTGAACAATATCGTAGTTATTGGTAAATTGGCAATTGGAGACTCTTCATAAAGCAAGGAGTCCATTAACTTTTGCCTGTTGGCTTCCATTGCAAACACTTTTCATATATGGAGAATAAATATTCTCTTTGAGAGTGGAGAACCTTATACTCTGTCATTGCCAACCACCTTATGTTCCTCAGGGCACCCTTATCATAATGAATTGGATCTGTTCTGGATCTGTTCAAAGACAGAGTTCTTTACAGGCTTAGACATGGATGGAAATGTATTACATTGGAACTATCTGAATTTCTTCATGACCAGAATATGGGAGTAAAGGGGCATGTTCCTTCCTGCACTGAGGAAATAGCTCAGTTGTCCACAGTCCCCATCCTTAAACATCTCACTCCTCCCCCAAAAGAGTCACATATTGAACTTGGAGACAAACAGAACAGTCACATTTGACTAAGCTATGGTTTATTGATAGTTCATCTACCACAAATGAAAACAAAACTAATGAAATGGCAAATCTATAGACCAGGAGTGGAATGGTCAATACTGAGCAAGGAACCACAAAGCCAGTGCAGCAATATTGGAAACAAGACAAACAATTCGGAAAGCAAAAGGAAAATCTCGATATCTCCAATTCGTGGTGTGCGTGCAATGGTATAGATATATGGTCATCAGAATGGAAAACCACTAACTGGTAGACAAATGGAAAAGTTATTTGGTCATGGGGGGCATAAATGGAAATGATATAACCTAGCAAAATTTAGTAAGGATATCAAATTTTATGTAGCTCATATAGGCAAGATAGCCAAAACATTCAAAAATAGTTAAATAGTAGATATATTTACATCATGCTTAATTAAGATTAGAATATTAAAATTTGCCAAGTAACAAATTCAGAATAAATCAGCAAGAATGGTGGATTACACATCAGAACAACTTGAAAATTTATTCCTAATATTAAGCAATAAGGGGAAATTGGGAACCAAATTAAACTAGGACAACACTATAAGAATAACTAGTCTAAGGAATCCATAGCCAGGTGGTGGTTTACACCTTTAATCCTAGCACATGGGAGGGAGAGGCAGGCACACAAGAATTACAGTGATTAAAATTTAAAAGCCACTTGTAAAAGGCAGGCTGAAATTCAAAGTGAATGCCCTTTGTGATTTAAAAATAAATACACTTAAGACTTGAATTTATATGTAAATAAAATTATATGTACATAAAATAAAACATATGAGAATATATGTTTATCCACACATACTAAGGTATATTTAGTTTTTATATTTAATTTTTTAAATTGAAAAATAATACTTTTTCTGCTGCCAAAGAATATTTTGCCCTAGGAAAGTTATAACCTGCAAAGGAAAGGAATCCCCAAAATTTGGATTGGGGTAAGGTTTTAATTTTATCTTTCCAGGAGAATGAAAGCATCCAACTAAGGAATCCAGAGACCACTGGACAAGTGAAGCATCTACCAAATAAATGAATGAATGAATGAATGAATGAATGAATAAATAAATAAATACATGATGGATCATCAGGAGAAAATGTCCTCTCCAAAAGAGCAAATTGGCCAAGCAGTATTGTTTACCTCCAGCTGATGAACCTAATATCCCAGCTTGGAGCCCCCAGACTAGTGATCCCAAGATGAGCTTCAGACTACAAATTTCTCAGGACATTCAAATTTCTGTGTTCATATCAGACTGATACAAACATTTTCTAGAACTTTGAACTCAGAAATACTTAATCCAAAGAGTGCCAAACACAGCCTAGTTGGACATTGTGGAAATCTTGGCACAAATAGCTTCATTATTGTAACTAGTTCTACTGTGGTAGAGTTAAAAACCTTTCCCTTTTATTTAGACAAAAGGGGAATTTTTTCCAAATATTTTATGTACACTGTGAGCCCTGAGATTATGTTATTTACTGGAAAAGCTTGTTTCTAGTTGTGGTGTGGTTCAGGCCTAGTGCACGGCTTTAATCCAAGAGCTTTCTGTTTGAATATTGCAAACAGGATTAAATAAAGTCAACCAAAGGTCAAGAAGCAGAACAAGCAACCAGGTGATAGGAAGTGAATATAGGATTAAACTATACAGAGTAAGAGGGAGTCAGAAGGATGAATAGACTCACAGGAAGTAGAAGGGAGGGACATTGAGGTTGAGATTATTTTGTTTGACATAGCATAGAAGAAATGTCTGTTTCTAGGACATCAGTGGAGGATGACCAGCCAGGTGTTTTCTCTGCCTCTCTGAGCTAGCAGGATTTTACCTCTGGCTCTTGAGTCTTTATTAGAAAAATTGAGCATTTGAGATTTAGTTATTTGTTTGTTTTCTATGCTGCAGATTAAACTTAACACAAACTATGCAACAATCTGTCTTCCCACAGATTTCTAACTTCCGTATAATTTGGCCATGCATCTGGATCCATCCTATTGACATTAACTTATCTATGGATATCTAATTTAAAAAATAGTATTTGTTTAACAAACAAGGTTGAATTCCCTTAAGCAGTGCCAATTTTCCATTTTGTTATCAGCTAGTAGTTCTAGGTTTCCTTGTACTAAATAATTGAGTTTCATGTTTGGTTAAATATTTAACCTATACTATATATATCTGCAAGCTTATGCAGATAATGACTTTAGCATGCTTTGCTGGATAATCAAGGTATATCCCAGAACAGAATGTATGAGATTGTCTACCCTTCCAAGCTTCTGGGAATTATGTTTGCCACCTACCTTATTTTGTAACTTGTCCCTAGAAGACGGTTCTTCTGCTAAGCTTTTGGAAGAAGGCATGTCAAGCTCAGCAACAGCTCTTTTAACACTTGTCTTGTTAGGCTCCACTGTCTGGCTTTCAGTTGCTTCTATACTTTCAATATGTTCACCAGATGTGGGATGACAGCATTTGCTTAGTGCTAAGAATTTTCTCAGGCTGCTTGTGCTCGTTGTTGACTTGGGAGAAACAACTTGGGTTTCTGAAGGTTTCACAACTTCTCCAACATGATATCCAGATATTTCTCCTAAGCACTGATGTCCAACAACCTCTCCTAAAACAATTTCCTCTTCATCAGAAATCATGTCCTCTCTGAAGCTACCATCTAAATCTTTCTGACTAATGTCATGAGCTACTAACCGAACGATCAGATCTTTCTTGTTATGAATATCTTTCAAAAGCTCTACTCTGGTGATATCAGGCCTTCTTACATTTTGAAATGAATTCCTGCCAACAGCCTAGAATTGAAAGTACAATACATATTAAAAATAAACATGTCAATATATTTTCTGATATTACTTTGTGTCATAGCTATTTTTTAATAACTTCAATCTAGCAAATAACTTCAAATTATACTTACTGGTATATTTTCACTATTTTAAAAGAAATAGATTAAAATCATAAGCAGTATTTGTTTGTATCTAGAATTATTTTTATATTGAGATGTTAGTCTATCATAATTTAATCCCAATATTCAGCCTAACAGAATAGTTTGAGCTTTATGCTTTATTATAGAATAATTTGTTTCTATTTGTTTAATTTTTCTTAAAAATTGTTGTAGAACTATGTAAAACTGTTTGTTCTTAATAAGTAATCCTATATAAATTTGGGCATTCATTTAAAAAAAGGCAAGACTTTGAGGAGCTTTACTTATAAAAATCAATAACCCATTGAAATTATGATCTTTAGATTATTTTTTACACTATAATCACATTCTTTATATTTTTCAAAACTAGGAAAGCCTTCATTTCTTTTATATTTTCTACTCAAATACCAATTAGTATTTTTAACTCAGAAGAATCCAAGAAAAGGTAATTATAATTCAGTAATCAAGTCACTCCATTTCTGTAGCCTTTCTTATATCACAAAAATTATAAAGTAATTTATAATTAATCTTCAACTCAGCATCCATTTGCAAGTTTTCAAACCATATTTTCAATTGATAATGTCTTTGCAAAGATACCCTCTGTGAAATAAAATATTTAGCAGCCACTCTTGAAAAATTTAAAGCAACAAACTTTATCTATTATATGTAAAAAATTATAAGGTTAGAAAATGAAAATATATGCAATATAGTTTGGGGATTTGTTACTTCATACTGTTTAAGTATGTTATATTGGGTGAAAAGTATGATATCTCTAAGCAGAATATTAAGCCATGAGATAAAGCCAAGTACCTAAAATAACGGACTTAAGCTACTGGATTTTTTTTTCTGCCTCTGTTGACAAAAGACATGGTTATAATCTGATTGGCATGTAAGATTTCTGTGCTTTGAATTCTACATGGCTGTTGGCTGTTTATTGTTATTGTTGTTATTACTACTATTATTATTATTGCCAAATGGATTTTTCTCCACTTAAAAAGAAAATGGTATATGTGTTTAAAAATTAACTGTGCATGAATAAAGTTGATAACCAGGAAAAAATGTTATGGATGGTTCTATAGATAATTAAAAATTATTTTACTAATATTATTTTAAAGGATACTCATAGAAATTTTACTCTTAAGGAGTATATGTAAAATGAATACTACATAAAATATATACTAATGTAGCAATGGGAACTCAGAAAGGAAAAGAATTTTTTATACTGGCAAGGACCATCATATGTTCTTTACAAAAGAACAAAACCTATTAGATGAATGTAAGTGCACAATAATTTCAGCATTTCAGTTTGAAAACATAAATATTTGCAATCTAACACCAAAAGGCAGGGGCAGATAGTCAGAGGGAGACAGAGAGAGCACAGGGTACCTTTTCCTGGGGATACATGAACAAATGACTGTTCTTTTCAGGCAGAACTCAAGGATAGACTTAAAAACAAACAAGCAGCAACAACAACAACAACAAAAAACCAATTTTATCCAACTCTAACTTACTAGTATTTTTGAAACCAGTGAGTTTATTGGGGTTACTTAAAGGAATATGGATGACAGAGTACTTAGAGAAGAGTAGATGACTCAAAGGTAGCTTTATTAGCAAAAATCTCAACCCAGCAAGACTGATGTCTCATTAAAATTGCATCCTTTGAGCACACTGTATAATTTCCAGGCAGCTTTCTCCTTTCTAGTAGTTACTGCTAAAATGATTTTGAGGAGAATTTAGTGAATCTGTTGTGCCCGCGGAACTTCCTGAGACTTGTAAACTGTATTTAATTCTTGAGTTTTAGTAGGTCTCTGTCTAAAAGAGAATGTTAATTTTGGAAGAAACAGCAAACATCACCAGCCTTTGTAATGAGTTCCAGCTTGGCCAGGGCTAAGCAGTGACCTGGTCTGTAAGTAAGAAATCAATCAATCACCAGCCTTAAGACTTAATTCAGGAATTTTCAGAGTCATTTTGGAAAACACTGAAATATTTATTCTTCAGAGAATATAGTTTTATAATTGGGTCAAGGCCATGGCACAAAGTACAATCCATAAAAAGAAAAATCTGTCAAAAATGCACACCGTCCATGTGAAGAATTTTAATAGAATTCCATGCCAGGAATGGGTTCCATTATATTGAACTGCTGAGCCTATAGAACCTCTCCAGTATCACAGGCTATTGATAAGTTACCTTCTCCGTAAAATGTTACTGCTTATGTCTTCAAACATGAAGAAATAGTGCTGGTATCTCACTAGAAGCTTCACTCCTAGTGACTAGCTTTCCTGATACAGGAAGGCAATTTGAGTGCTACTGGAGAAGAAAAGTAGTTATCAATATCACCCAGCTACAAACCCTGAGGCCTGCAACAGTGACCTGACTGCAAGATACACTGGGATAATAGTGGCACAAGAGTTACAGCAGTAATTAACCAATTTTGATTGTATGTAAACTCAGTCAAATGAGACCAAACCTATATCTGACACTATTCAAGTGGTTAATGGCCTGAGACTAGAGAGATCATTGGCCTAGGAGAAATCTAGTTACGATTATTCTGATAAAGGAAAACAACAATTAAATAAGTTCTCACGACATATTGCTATAGCCATAGATCAGTGTCTCATTCATCACTCATCAGAAAATAATCTTCTTGGTAATTAACAAAGAGATCTACAACTAGAAAATGTACAGAAACTAAGAGACTTTGTAGCACTCAGCCCTAAATGTGGTGTCTTTAAGCAAACCTCTACCCTTAACAGGTATCTATGAAGAGAAGATGAAAAGACTGTTAAGGATCACAGGTGGAAGATGATTGCAAGAAAATGGTATCTTCTAGACATAACGTAGCATGTCTGTTAGACATGTAAGTCACAGAGAGTGTGACAGCATGCACAAGTTCTAATCAAACAGAATTCCAGCAGTGAGAAGAGAAAGTGGATACATAGTGTCACTCCTAAGCAAGAAGCTATTTCCAAATGATAGAGAAAGGGAAATCAGTTTCCTTTAAAAGAATGTCACTAGGTATACACTCATACTCCAGGGCAAGTCTCATGCCCAGGAATAATTGACCTACAGAAACTTAACTCTGGGTACTTTTGCACGTTTTTGTTTGTTGGTTGGTTGGTTGGTTGGTATGTTTTGTTTTATGGTTTCCTTACTAGTTTTTTTCCTTGGTCTGTTTTCATATTTTTATTTTTTAAGAAGATTAAAAAAAGAAAGAGTATGAAGTAGAGTGAGTAGGGAGGTCGAAGGATACAAGAGGTCTTGGTATAGGAATATGAATAAAATATACTACATGGAAATTTTTAAATAAAAATAATAAAAGAAAAATAGTACTGTATTGCATTAAGTAGATGCCTTTTAATACATGTTCCCAAAAATTTCTAAATAAAATTACATTCCAGTCATTCTAGTTTTAATAAGACTCTATACTTATTTACTTCCCTGCTTCAAAGAAAAATAGTTTTAGTGGATTGTCTTATAAAAACTAGCCTTAGGCTGTTAGTGTGAAATATGAAAATGATATGGCAAGTCCTTGAAAATCCTGACTGTAGAGATGAACAATTGTAACCAATTTCCTGTTCAGCTGACAAAATAACAAACATATCTTTCCTTGTACCAAGAAAGGAAGGAAATCATTGAACTAGCTTACGCTTTGCCGATTTTCTCCGTTGCTGCGATACTTACCTCTAAGGGTTTTACATCTAGTCGTCCTGTCCTATCCAATGAGATGCGTCTTTCTTTCTGTCTCGTTCCTACTTCACACACTTCTGTGGAAGAGTGACCTTTTCCACTTATGGAAGCCCTTCTCAGCTCTGCGATGCTGCATCCAGTTCTCTTTATACAGTCCATCTTAAGTGTTTCCAGAGGCTGAGTCTTCATAGAAATAACTGCTAAGTGTTCTGCGATGATATTTGGATCTATTTTCAATGGTTTATTCCCGACATGTGGAATTATTCTAACTGGAAGTTCATCTTCTAATACATCATCTGACTCTTTGTCAGAGTCAGAGCTCATTCGTGCAGCATGCTTTTGTGCCTTTTCAATGATTCGATTTGTGTCTAGATCTCCAATGGCACCAGCATCAGAACTCTTTGTGCTAACTCTACATGATGGAACACTGGAAACTCCATTGACAATTAAGCTAGCCACTTTCTTAGGGAAGGACTTCTTTGTATCTTTCATATCACAGAGTTCATTATGGGCTCCAGATTGTTTTATTATATTATCATAAACAGACTCAATAACCTGGGAAATCATTTCAATGTTTTCTGGATCTAAAGGTTGCTCTTCAGGATCAGAGTCCACAAGACTTATGTTACTTCTGGAAATTTCAGCTGTTACAGATTTTGTCAGCTGAGATGCAATTTTATTTAACTCCGGCTTTGTTAAACTGTCTGTGTCTTGGCTCGCCACACCAGACTTCTTTACTAGTTTAGCCAAGAACAAGGCCAAAGCTTCCTCCAAAGCTCTGGAGTCTAACATTAAATCTTTTAGGGATGAAGATTTTTCCTGGGACTTAAGCTCATCAATAATTTTTACTACCTTCTCCATAATTTTGACAGCTTCTAGAGCTAATTCTGAATTTGAAAGTTCTTCTTCTGCTTGAGGTTGAAATTCTGAATTGGAAATCTCCTTCACCATTAGCGAACCTATTATGTCAGGAAGAACATTACTCTTACCCATTAAGTCTTCAAATACAGACGTAGGAGAGCCAGAGTGTTTTAAAAGATTGGCATAAACAGAATTGGCTACTTTTTCAATAGTTGCATCGTCAGCTAAAGGCACAGGTTCCGATTCCTTGGAAGGTTTTACAACTTTGATCTTACTTTTGGAGATACACTCTTGGATTGACTTTAATATTTTGGAGCTTATTTTTTGCATTTCATTTTCTTGAGATTTAGTTCTTCCCATTTGCACTTTTGGAAACACGGATAAAAGCTTTGATAAGAACTTTACAGCAATTGCTTCTATTACATTATAAGATAGTTTACGAGGACATGGTGGCTGTGATGGAGTAGTTAAGGCAACATTGGTGAGGATATTTTCAACAACATTGTCAACTTCTTCACACTGATATGGAGTCAACTCACCACCAAAATAGTTCTGTAACTGATTGCCAGCCACTTCTCGTAGAACTAAATCCACTATGGTTTTTGAAAGGAGTCTGCATCCACTAGCTATACAATTTTGTATGGTTTCCTGTGATCCGAACTGTGGCAAAAGATTATTATAAATGGTCTGAACCACCAGTTGAATAATTTCATCGTCATTTGGATGCAAGGATTCTACATATTGTATAATCATATCTTCATTTTTGGCAATATCTGCTGCAACCGCACTTACTAACTTCATTTGAAGGAAATCAAGTTGTGTCAAAAAATTTTGTTGTGATATTTTTGTTTTGACATTGGATAGCTTTGAAAACACTTTTGCTAAAAGAGCAGCAATAACATCATCTAAAAATTTGAAAGGCAACTTTACAGTATATGGAGATGAGGTTTGACATTCTTTACTAGCTGTTTCCACTGCCTTTTGGATCTTTTTCTCAATATCTTTTGATTCCAGAGGCACACATGCTGAAGTTGGTATCTCATCAGAAAATAACAAGTTAAGCTGATGCTGAAAAATTTCACTTATCACTGTGCTAGTTAGCCTTTTTGCTAGTTTTTCCCCATTACTGTTGATGTTCTTGCAAACCGACTCTTGAGATGTGCATTCCTTTAAAACATTGCAAACACAAGAGTGAACAATTTTATTGACAACTGATTTTTCAATTGATGGCATCCTATCTATGGAGGGGATCTTGTCAGGAGAGGATTGTTCAGTGGTTTTATGTGTATGTGGCAATTTATCCACATTTTTAATATTCATGCTGGATGCTGGTTCACCTTTAGCTGCTTCTGGTATGGAGGGAATCTTGTCAGGAGAGGATTGTTCAGTGGTTTTATGTGTATGTGACAATTTATCCACATTTTTAATATTCATGCTGGATGCTGGTTCACCTTTAGCTGCTTCTGGTATGAAGGGAATCTTGTCAGGAGAGGATTGTTCAGTGGTTTTATGAGTATGTGGCAATTTATCCACATTTTTAATATTCATGCTGGATGCTGGTTTACCTGTAGCTGCTTCTGGTATGAAGGGAATCTTGTCAGGAGAGGATTGTTCAGTGGTTTTATGTGTATGTGGCAATTTATCCACATTTTTAATATTCATGCTGGATGCTGGTTTACCTGTAGCTGCTTCTGGTATGAAGGGAATCTTGTCAGGAGAGGATTGTTCAGGGGTTTTATATGTATGTGGCAATTTATCCACATTTTTAATATTCATGCTGGATGCTGGTTTACCTGTAGCTGCTTCTGGTATGAAGGGAATCTTGTCAGGAGAGGATTGTTCAGTGGTTTTATGTGTATGTGACAATTTATCCACATTTTTAATATTCATGCTGGATGCTGGTTTACCTGTAGCTGTTTCTGGTATGGAGGGAATCTTGTCAGGAGAGGATTTTTCAGTGGTTTTATGTGTATGTGGCAATTTATCCACATTTTTAATATTCATGCTGGATGCTGGTTTACCTGTAGCTGTTTCTGGTATGGAGGGAATCTTGTCAGGAGAGGATTGTTCAGGGGTTTTATATGTATGTGGCAATTTATCCACATTTTTAATATTCATGCTGGATGTTGGTTCACCTGTAGCTGCTTCTTGAAACCCAAGAGGTACCGTATGAGCTTCTGATTCTTTGGTTGCTTGTGAGATAATCTCATTTTCCTTCTTTGGTCTAAATACCTTAACTTCTGCATCTGAAAACTGCTTCAACATTGAGTCAATGAGTCTCATAGCTGTGTCATAAAGTTTACTTTGGTTTTGGTCCTCACTTGTTGCTGGAGTTCTATCACGAGTTTTTGTTTCTGGCGAAGATGTAAATATTAGTTTATTCACCAATTCAGTGATCACATCTTCTAGAAACTTAGCAGGAATAATTGTAGGTTTACTTTCTGATGAGGACTGTGGATGGTCTGATTTACTAGGATGACTTTTAATGTCTTTCTCTTTTTTTATCTCACTCTCCTCTTGTTTTCTGTTAGTTTCAGTTTCTTCACTTGCTTTCTCTTTAATGGTGATGTCTTTGCTAACTGATGGGGATAAACTCTTTGTTGTAACAGACTGTGCAGAATCTTGAAGTATAGCCAAAGCTTTATCACTTTGGAGGGCTTTGTTGTATATTTGTTTGGAAAAATCCAATGGTTCTTGAGAAGATATTGTTAAAACATTGTCATAAATATTCTCAATGACATTTTCAACACGCTCAGTTTCTGAGTACAGCTCTTCATCTATATCTGTTTCAACTACAGATTGTGTCCTTTTTTCCGTAACGGGCAGTTGGGCTATTTTTACAGTTTTTTCTGTTGTGCTCTCTTTACTCTTGTTTTGGGGCTTATCATCTGTTTTCACTAAATCTTTACTGGCATTGTCCATTTTCCTTTCATTGTCTGTTACAAAATCTGATACAAGTACCTCCTTCTCAGAACTGTTTTCAACAGTAGCAACTGAAAAATGGGTGTATATTTCAAGCATCTGACCCTGCTCATTGATTATAAGTAAGTTCTCTTTCCCAGTTTCTTTACTCTTACCTCTGTCCCTCAAATGTTGAACTTGAGTACCTATACTTTTCACACTGGTAGTTGAAGACATAAATTTCGAGGCATTCTCATATATTTGATTGGCAGATCTCGGTTTATTTTCATCATCTTTCTTTGTATCTGTGACACCTGTAGTTGATCCCGACATCAGGTTGATGATATTGCTTTTCATCATGGTAGCAAAAGAGCTAAGCATTGGATATGGGACCTCATCTTTTTTCATTGATGTGTCTTTAGATAGAGCCAGCTGGGTCTGTTTTAAGCATCGGCTAATCTGTGTGGAGGTTTTCTGTGGTAGGAGCTGAATCCTTTGGGTGATATTTTCTGGATCTAAAAATGAAAAGAAAGTTGAACACCAGTCTCCTGAAAATAGAGGTTGAATTTTGAATGCAGATATTGCCTTCTGGGCTAAAGAAGAAACCATTTCTATAACAATGTTACCAGTGTCATCTTTCTGAATACTATCAGATCCAAATTTCCCCACGAACTGATCATATACAAAATTAGATATCTCAGCAACTGTCTCCTTCCCAATTGGTGGGAAAGAAAATATTTCTTCAGCATGTGGTAAAACTTTGATTTCACTTTTCCTAAATTCCCGTATGAGAGAGTTTGCAAAGTTGATAGGCAAGCTTACAATTTCTGGCTCTGGCATACCTTTTTTCCTAGAATCTTCAGTAAGAGTTGTAAAAGAACAAAATTTGTGAGCAAGGTCAACAATTACATCTTCTAAAAATGCAGCTGAAAATAGAGAAGGCTGTGCCTTTTCTTTGCCAGACTTAGCAACAACAGAAGCATGGCCATAATCAGGTAAGTTACTGGAAGGTGAGTCTTCACCATATAAAAATGGTCGCAAATGATAATCCATGATTTCTTTCATAATGAAACCAGCCATTTTACTGAGAAATGAACCTCCCTTTTTGTGTGCATCTTTCTGTACTTCTGCTTGGAATTCAGAGTTTTTCAAAATATTATTACATACAGAGTCAACGAAATTCTCAGTAGTTCCCAGTTGTGTAATATCTGCATTCTCCTCTTCAGTTGCAAATCTGATCTCATGCTCAGAAATTTCTTTCATAATTTCATCAGTCAGTTTTGAAGCTGCAGCCATGAACTCGTCACCATCATCTGGCCCAACCTCTTTCTCTTGTTTACTTGTAGTCTCATCTGTAGGGAAGATATTTACTAAAAGCTTGTAAATCATATTTTCTATTAGAGAACAAGGGAGCACTGTAATGCATGATGGCAAGGCATTGGTATCCTTCAAGATGACATTGAGCACATTTTTGATGATATTTTCAGCTCGAGGAAAAGAATAGGAAGAAGGCATTAATTCACCTGAAACTAATGACTGCACTTGATAATCATAAATTTCTTCCAGTAGAAAATGATATACTTTTCCTCCAAAACAAGTAGTGTCATTTTGTACAGCCCTATGTAGTTGCATCAGTGATTTATATTTATCTAATATATTTTCATAAACGGAGTTGACTGTTTTTTGAACCATTTCTTTATATGTGTCTGAACACCATAGACTCTCATCCAAATTTTCTGCAAGTAAAATTTCAGATGTAGTGAACTCTAAAACAATTGATTTTACTAAGGTTGTAACGATATCCATTATTTTGGCTATTGCTTTCTCTGGGGTTTCAGCAGCCAAGTAATTCTGTACGAATGTCTGCAGAATTTTGCATAAAAGCTCAGAAATTACTTCCTCCAAAAAGACAGCTGAGTTCATAATGAAAGACAATTCTCTTTGCTTAGGGTTTGTTGATTTATTTTTGCAAGGTTGAGCAACTGAAGCTGAAAGAAAACTTTTATCTCCTGATAAGAATGACTCTAGATGATGATTAAAGATTTCTTTTATTATAAAACTTGCTATTTTTGAAACAGGTATGCTACTTACACCTTTTTTATCCTTTGTTAGAGACTGGTAAAGGTTTGAACGAGAAAGATCAGCATATATGGAGTCAACCATTGACTGCATATCTTTTTCTGAAATCATACTTTGTTTTTCATTTCCATGTTTTACAATACATATTGCATGTTTTGAAATTATTGACATGATTTCATTTATCAGTTTCATAACTGTGTTACTTAGGTCTGATTGAGAAGTATCAGAATATTCTACACTGGAATGTGATGTATTTATCTGAGATATAAGCTGAGTGACAATTTTTTCTAAATGAATATGTGAGAGCATAGTAGTATATATTGTTGATGCTTGTCTTCGGAATCTTGATTTACTAATATCATAATGGACTCTGTTTACCAAAACATTTTGACTAAGTTTGGAATGTAAACTTGAAGGCAGATTTGCTATAAGATCTGGTGGAATTTGGAAATCAAAAATTTCAATCAGAATGATTTTGGTTATCTGGCCAGCCAATGCCTTTGTGTCATCTAGAAAATCTTTATCAGGCACCACTTCCATTTCATATTCTTCTAAAACTTTGCTGTACACAGTGCCAATAATGTTTTTGAGTACCTCTTCCTCAACTGAGGGAAAACACAACCGTTCCTCAGCATTCTCTATAGTTGTAACCTGGGCTTTTGAAAATTCCTCTGTTATCCAATATATGAGACTTTCAGCTTTATCAAACAGAACATCTTCTGAATTTCTTGTAGACTCCACTTGGACAATGCCAACCACTCTGTGAAATATTTTGCTTACTACTCCAGAGACCACATCTTCCAAAAAAGTTGAAGAATAAGCACTAGAATAAATGAACTGCTGTCTGTCACCAACACATTTGTACGGTGAAGTAGATAATTGCCTTTTTTCCAAAAATGGCTGAAGATGCTGTTCACACACATATTTAATAATAAAACCTGCGATTTTGTCAATGAAAACGTCATTACTCTTTGTGATATTTTCTTCCACTGATTCTTGAGAATCTGAGTTTTCTAAAATATTTGTGAAAACAGAATCAACAAGACGGCGAACATCTTCTTCTGAGTAAAAGGGCTTGGCTTTAGCTTCATCTTTTGAAAATCTAATTTCATGTTGGGAAATTTTTCTCCTAATATCGCTGATCAGATTGGAAGCAATTTCATTAAAATTTACTTCTTTATCTTTTGGAGCTGCTGTATTTGGAACCATTTTGGGAAAAGGGAAAAATTTAGATAAGAGTACTCTGATCATATCTTCTAAAAATGTATATGGTAGCAATGTATTATATGGAGGTAAACACTGGTTTGGCTTACTAGATTTATTGATGTTACCAAGAACATCATAAACAATATTATCAGCCATTGAACTAGAACAGGAAGCGGTCGATAAATCACCAGAAAACAGTGGGTGAAGAAGGTAGTCTGAAATAGCTGCCATGATTAATTTGGTAATATTTTCCACAAAAGCATCACTATTTTCAGACTCGTCAATGTCAGGATCTAGCCCATGCTGCTTCAAAACGTTTCTATATACTGAGGTGACAAGTTCATCTACAATATCTGTATCACCAAATGGAAAGGATGATTGTTTATCACATAGAATAGGAATCTTAGCTTTGTCTAAATGGTTATTCACTGAGTTTACTATTTTTTGGGTCATATTTTCCAGTTCAGCATTAATATTAGGCTTAGGACTAAAAATCTTTGATAAAATTCTGGTAACGATTTCCCCTACAAATTTATCAGGGTAAACGCTAAAAGGTGATGGCTTCTGGAGTTTGTGAGACTCTACAACTTCACTGAGAACTTGTTTGACCATATAAGATACCTCATCCAGTGGAGTTTTGGGGCGAGGTAAAATCTCTCCACACAAAAATGGTTGAAGATGGTTTTCAATAATCTCTTGGATAATGAAACTGGCTATTTGGTCAATCATAATCGGACTTCGGTTAATTATATTCTTCTGTATTGAATCAAGAGAATCAGAAATTTGTAAAATATTACTATAAACAGAATCTACCATCTTTTGGAGGTTCTTATCTGTGTAGAGACATTGATTATCATAGATGGTGAACCAGATTTTATGTTTTGAAATGGCTGACATAACTTTATTTGTTATACAGTTGGACATTTCATTAAAATTTGAGTTCATTAAACATTGTTTTTCTAAAGATGAAGGCTTAATAGGCAGGGGAATAAGCTGAGCTAAAAGTCTTCTGATGACATATTCTAAAAATGAGTGTGGTAACATGGTGCTATAACCTTTTGAAGACATGGGTTCAGAGATAAATTTTCTTAGATTATTTTGAAGTTTATATAGTATGATTTCAGCATTGAGAGTATGATATGAATTTGATCTAAGCTTTCCCTTGAAGCAAGAAGGAAGTTGATAGTCCACAATCTCTAACAATATGCTATTAGACATTTGTTCACCTACTGAAGTGTTGTCATATGGCAGATTATTCCCACAGATTACTTTAAATTCATAATGCTGTAAAACATCATAATAAATGGAATCAACAATCTTAGTAACACATCCTTTATGTGCTGATGGAAAATACAGCCTTTCCTCAGGATACTTTAGAACATTGATTTGAGCATTATTTAACTCATCCACTACATTGTTGATAAGTGATGTATTTATCTCATTGAGCCAGGTTTCAGTGATGTTTATATTTTTCCTCCACAATGAAGTAGTCAGCTTAAAAAACAATTCTGAGATTATGTCCTCCAAAAATGTGGCTGAATAAATACCACCATTTGCACCTCTTTGACATAGCTTACGAAAGGCTACTGTGTTCATTCCCCTTGTTTCTTGTCTATCAGGAAGTGACAAAGAGAAAGGTCTTACTGCCCTTTGTTTGCCAAATGGTGTTTGCATTTTAAAGCTTGCTCCATTATTCAGAATTTTACTGTCACAGCTCATGAATCCTACATGAGCATTATTTTGTCCCAATTCTATTAATTCTCGCCTTTTTGCTTTTGGGAAAAAAGGCTGTATTTCTCTTGTTCTGTAGCTCATGCATTTGTTTTCAAAAGGAGCTTGTTGAAAACCATGAGATAGCTTATCCATCAAAGATTTAACCAAGCTGTGGGATATAACATTAAGTACACAGTCTGATGATAATAAATCTTGATCCATGTCTGCCAGATTTTCCAAAAGGTCTGCCATGTAATCTCCTTGAAATTGTTCACAGTCCATTGGTGCCTTACAGTAATCAAAATCTCCACCTTGAACACTTTGAAGTAATTTTCCATATTGACATTCTTCTGCTACTTCACGAAAAAGAGAACTATCTGCAAGAAATGCAGAACCTGTGCATTTTTCTAGAAGTGTTCTAATAAGTTTCTCACACACAATATTGAGAAGAAAAACTGATTTAGGGGAAAGTCCTAGATTATTTGTAAGGATTCTATTACTTTGTTGATTATTTGTAGTGACAAATGTTCTTGCTAGTTTGACAGAACTCATATCCCCATCTGGGAATTCATCTGGTAAAAATAAATCTAAAACAATATTGAAGACTTCATTGACAACTTCTTTGGATTCATGAGATTTTAGGTTACCAACAAGACTGTTTAACCTACATGCCAGATAATTTAATTTATTTCTTTGAGCATGGTGATCAATTAGGTGAGATGATTCCTGGTCTCTGGGACCTATCTGACTTTCTATGGTATTGATTTTGTTAAAAATGGGCATATTGTTTCTAAATGTAGAATATGTTTTGTTTCTTACATTATTTTCAAAGTGATGATTTATTCCTAGTACTTTGGACAATACACAAATCACTCCTTTTAAGAGATCTTGAAAGATATCATCAATGTCGGAAGAAGTCACTCTTGGACCGAATCTGTACTTGTTTTTTATGGAAGTCTGATGTGCCTCGTCAGCACTTATAAAGTTACCATTAGAAAGAATTTCAATAATAACTTCAAAAATACTTAAAGCGAGTTCTCCAATGGAAATAGTCCTGCTCTTATACACTTGAGAATGAATTAAGATATTTTTGTTAGATATTACATCTTGGATTTCCCATGCTTTGTCTTTGTTATCCTCTTCGGTGCCATCTGAAATGTTTGAAATTAAGTAGCAGATGACTGATTCAGAGAGATGTTCACAAAACTGATACACTGAAGAATTACTGTATATACTTTTTAGAGGCTGTTTTGAGTCATAATTATTCTCTGCGAGTGAAGAAACATGAGATAACTTCTCATCAGTTGAAACTAAAAAAAAATGTAAGAAGAAACATGAGCATCTTTAGAATGGATTAGAGGAAATTTGGAAAATTCAATATATTGGCATATATTTTGTCTGCAAAACTCCTTACTAAAGTAAAGGGTAAAACTTAATGGCAAAAGAAATAGGATTTTCCTTAAATACTTCACAATTGTAAAGTCTTACTCTTAGACAATATGTTGAGATAACAGGTCTTCCATATTCAATTCTCTAAGACATGGGTAGATTTCTGCCTTGGCAGAAATTAAGAGACCAGATTTTCAGGTCTGTTGAAACATCCTGCTATAATTCCAGTGATATGATTATTTAAAAGCATATTAAATGACAATATTTGATGCTATGCTGCTTTTTACTTGGAAGTTTAAAGATTTGTGTTACTCTGTCATCTTGAATAAAACACAAGTGTGTCACTCCAGAATGGCTAATGAGAGAATACAGCAGCAAAGGCATATATAAGTACTTTGCCAACTTTTTTATTCACAGTGTTTGCTCAATCAAAGTTTCCTACTTTCTTTTTCATTTTTCCCTCATCTGCAGGCATAAAGGGGAAACAAAACCCCAAATCTTTTATATTTAACACATAAACAGTTAACTATGGAAGTTTAAAAACAATCAAATAGCTATTCCATATTTTTGAAGCTATTTTCAGATAAAACAAAATGTAGGCTCTTGGACAAGAGATCTTTTAAATATACCTTTTACTGTTTCCCCAAAATTATCCCAACTTAAAACATATCTCTTGCTTACCTGCAGTTTTGAAGTTCTTCAAGTGTCTGATCACAGATGTAGTAACATGTCTTGCCACCAAATGCATTTCATTTGGACCCAGTTCATGGTCAACGAAAGTGATTGTGTCAGTTTCCTCCAAAGTCTCTGTCATTTTAGTGTTTTTATTTTTCCATTTGTGTAATAAAGAAAAATCCCCTTGGCAGGCTTCAAGTCCTTCACTTTCTTCTTCATTTATACAGGCCATTCGTTGATACCACATTCTAAGCAAGTTTTTCTCATTTGTTTGTCCATCACATACCGCAGACAAAGAATTTTGCCTTGATGTAAAACATGGTTTTGTGTTCTCCAGGCTTTCATCAGGGTTTGGCTGATGGGAAAAGTCATAGCTTGACAGTACTGTGTTAACAATATTGTCTGCAGCTAAACATATTTTGAGTGGAGAAGCATTTGTCTTAATTTCATTTGGCTCAGTTGGTTTGGTGGTCTCATAATGAAAAACCCTTGGATTTTCACCTTTCCCCATTTCTATGAATGACATGACTTGTTTTAATGATTCTTCTGTGGAATCATTTGCTTTCTTAAACAATTTTTGCAACACACTGCCTTCAGGAAGAGAACTGCTACCTTTGGTGGATCCCTCAAAAAGTCCAAAGTTTGGTTTCCTTTGGCTCTGGTCTTGTGCTTTGTTTCTAGAATATGATGGCACAGCTTTTGAATTGGGCCTTCCTGTTGACTCTGGGCTTTTAATTTTGTTTTCGACACAGGAACTGATGTGTGAGGGTGAATTAGAAGTTATCTCATAGTTTTGTTTTGCATCATCCTCTGAATTAATCCCCAAACCAGATATACTCCTTTGTGGAGTGTTAGTCCTCATACTAGTGTTTCTTATCTTTGATGTAGGCATTTTCACATGAGATCCATATTCAACCTGATTAACAATGTAAACATTCTCAGTTCTTTCGAACCAATTTTTGTTTGGAAGGTTTGTGATCAAAGACTCATTGAAATTAGTACACTGGTCTATCAGTGTACCAATGATTTCACTTGCAGCAATATTCTCTTTCAGGATGCTAACTGGAAATGGTTCCATTTGGCTTATTTCTTTGTCTAGCTTATTCTTGATTATACTAAGCATGTCACTGACAGTAGTGACAGAATACGTAAGTAATTCTGAATGGAATGAATGAACCTGTAGGAGTGTGTTCTGTACGTTTTCTTTGGATATAATAGCACTTGACTTGGGTTCGTCACCAAACTTTCTAAATGGTTGTAATTTTGGCAACATCTTTTTGCTTAATTGTCTCTGTTGCACTTGAAAGAGATTGTCTATAGGCATTTTAACTATTTCAGAAAACTCATATTTAGAGATATGCTTAAACTTCAAGTCCACAAATGACTCTAACATGTTTAAGACCCTTTCTACAATCTCTTGCACAATTTGGTTTCTAGGATTCATAGACACTTGATCTTTCGTCTTGTTACAGGTCTGCACACCACTGAGGATACGCTTGTTTGGAACACCATGCTTACTTTTAGCAGCAACATGTTCTTTCCTACTTGTTAGAATTCCCTTACTATCTTGAGTAGGCATCTGAGACAAGAAGCACAGTTGTAATTTTTCAAATAACATTTCGACAATTTCCCGTCCAAACATATTGATTTGTGCTTTTGTATCCTCAGCTCTAGTAGATCCACACTTAAAGCGATCATAGAATCTGTTTTCACAATCTTCAAGAGGTGGTAAATTTAAGAGTGAAAGTGAATACTCCAAATCTTTTGCTTTAATTGAAATTTCAGTCAAAATGTTTTCAGCTATGGTTAAAAGTTTAGACTTTTCATTTTCTGTATCACTTGTTTCTGTTTGCCACTTGTCAAACATTTTTTTAAATATACCTTCTTTAGGAAAAATCTGTTCTAGCTGTGAGGAAACATTCTCTAAATAAAAGCATGCCTGTTGCTCAGTAGGGGAGCCTGCACTCAGATTCTGCTTTGATAGGCGAAGATCACCCACATTTGAGACATTAATTGGAGAAGTCAAATTTTGATTGTTTGTAGCATATAATTCTTGCAACACTGAATTAACAATTTTGCTTGCTTCAAGGATTTGACCAGATGGTAAAGCTTTTGTATTCAACACGGTTCTATTTTGTGCCACCCTTTCAAGTTCTTTCATAATTATTTCTAAAATATCAGTTATTATATTCTTGGCATAAACTCTTAATTCTGAAGCTGGTAGTTTAGTTTTCAGCATGACTTTGGCATCCTCTGTTGACAGAGTTTGTGGTAGTCCAATGGCGGTTTTGGATCGGTTCTCTCTTGGAGTCTTCTCTCCAGCACCTAACTTGGTCTTGCTTTTAGACTTAGTACCGCTAATGCCTAGATGTGGTTTTGTTCTAAATTTAGAGAGAGAGGTAATTTTTGACCTTGTTTTTAAACTTGTTTTACATCCTGTCCTAGGGCTGTTCTTAGGGCTAAGTTTAGAACTATGTAGCCTAAGAAGGTACATGTCATCATAGCTACCTTCAAAGGGAAATCTTTCTTCTAGATGCAGGGAAACAAAATTTGACAGCTTATCAAGAACTATTTCAACTAAATATCTTCCAATTTGCAATGGTGAATATGGAAAAAACGTGTTTTCTAACACAAGAGCATTTAAATTGTCAGCATAATGATGCATTTCTGGTACCCCAAATCTAGGGGGATTACTTATTTTTCTTGTTGGCTTAGTTTCTTTAAAGCATGGTGTTTTTAATAATATATCATTATTGTCATGCATTTCTACCTCTCTCCTGCTTTTATTTTTTTTGTATAACGATGCCACAACTACAGAGTGCATTTCTCCCAAAATATTTTCAAGTATATCATTTGAAACATTGTTAATGTGAGACTGAAAGAATTTCTTCTGTGTTATACCTGACATTTTACTTTTAGACTTAGATACAATGTAAGGAATTTCATTAAATGGAGGCAAGTGGCCTATAATTTCCATTATTTTTTCACTCAACTTCTTCAAAACCTCTTCTACTGCAGTGAATATTTCAGATTTTCCCTTTGGTTTTGATTCACCTTTCCTCATAAATATTTCTTCCAAAATAACTCTTTGACTTTCCTTTTCCACTATTATTTGGCTTTCTTCTAAGGGGTGATTTATAAACTGTGACAATGTGCCAGTGTTTTCCTTCTCTTTGTATTCCAGCAAAACTTCATTTGGTATGGTTAACTGTGAACAACTGGGATTTTCTGGTGAGGGTAAAAAAAATTGCTTCATAGATCCTTTATTGTGCAAAATCCTTAAGATACTATTGACAATTTCACTGACATTAATATTTTTTTGAAATAAAATGCTGTTTGAACATGTGTGCATACTTTGTGTTTCTAAGTCTAAATCATTTTTAATAAGCTTCAAAATCGCACTGGCAATGAAGTCAGCATAGTCTTTAAGGGCAGTTTGTGATAAATGTATTGTGGTTCCAAGACTTTCTCCACAGCTGGTAAAAATGGGTTCCACAAGTTCTTGGCTAGGGTCTGCTTCAGTTGTTGATAATTTTAGGACATTCACACGAGATTCAACTTGGCCTGGTTCAAGAAAAAAGTTGTCATCATGTTTACCATTTTCAAATTCTGGGCTAATAAATACATTTTCTTTACTAGACTGAAAGATAGGAGTCGTTAATGAATTTATTCTTTCTGTGGCAAAAGACTGTAACCTATTGAAAATAGTTTCAGTAATGAAGTTGGCATTTTCCTCACATGGATCTGGTGCAGGTTCCCTGGTGTCTTCATTTCTCTTTATGGGCATCTGGTAAACATCAGCATAAGCTAAACTCTTATCTTTTGCACATAAAAAACGCCCCGGTTTTTCTTCAGTTCTTTGTGTTATATATAGAGGCTGTTGGCACTGTGATTTTGGAAACATATCATAGAAGGCCAATCTTGCGGAAGCAGGATCATTTGCATTTATAGCAAGCATGACCAAGGAAGTAAGGCTATGAAGTACGATATCCACTATATCTTTGGACACCAAAATGACATCTGTTTTAGGAACTGACACTTTAGGGATAATATTTGTACCCCTAACAACTGGTTGGAAACTTGCTTCTGAGTGTTTACGAGGTATACTATATTGCAGAGTGGGTGTGGCAAATGAGAAGTTATTTTGATATATAATGTTTTCATAAATATCACATAAGATCCTTTCAATGGTATCTTGAATTTGAAACTCAAGTATTTTTCGATATTCTGTCTTATTGACTAGCCTTTCAATAATACCATCTTGCTGATCTGAATAATTGTCCTTGTCAGAACTGTTTTTGTCACACTTACTTTTGCATGACACAATATCAAGCACTGAGCTAACAATCTGACTTGCAATATTCTCGGAAACCACAATGTTATTTGTCAGGAGAGGACTTTCTTGCTCTTTATCTAACTCATATTTGATACCTTGTAAAATTTTCCTAGCCACTTCTTTTGCATAAACATTTAATTTGGACAAAGACAGTTGGCACCATGAATCCATCTTTCCTGGGGTGTCATGCTCCACTGAACCACAGGGAAATTGCTTATCAGAATAGGAGTCTCTGCTTGATAATGCTTTGCTTAATGATCCCCCTTGCTGCTGTACTGGCAAAGTCACCGGAACTCTGAAGTTGATTTGGGGATGAAAGAGAGATTCTACTTTGGAAGCAGCAAAATTTTCTAAATTTTCTAGTATTGCCTGAACAATATCTTCAACTACATTTATTTTTGTCTGTTTGTCAACATTCCAGCTCGACTGAATATCACATGTATTTCCATTTAACACACTGACAGGCCTGTTTCCTGCATAGGTATGCTCACAAAAAGAAACATTGGTTGAAAAAATGATTGTTTCACATCTGTTTTCACTTACAGGTTTTACTGTCATGGCAGCTGAAAAAAGTTTGTGAAATACGGTCCTAACCACATCATTTACCACTAGAGATACATCTGTGTCAGACACTAAAGGGCCCATCAATGGATCCATAAACTGAGTAGATGTTTGAATAGTTGACACAGGGACATTATAAGACATACCAGTAAAATGGGAGTGTGAGAGAGAAATAACATTTAATTGATTGATTAAAGCACTTTGAAAAATTTCATTCAAAATATTTCTTATAATGGGAACAATTGGAGATTTGTGTGGTTCTTTGAGTTTTACTTCAATTTTGTTTAAGATTCTTTCAAGGATCCACTGGTCAGTAGAAAAGGTGTTAGTTTCTTCTCTGGATGATATTCTATCTCCAATAAATTCTTTCTTTTGATCTTCATCATTATCTAGAAATGACTCTGATTCAGCTCCTCCAGGAAGGAAATTTCCGTAAGTTGGTCGATATCGATAATTTTCAATGCCTCTGTTCTCAGATATGGGTTCCGTAAATATGTCTGAAGATGCTACATTTAAAATTAAATCAACTATATTTGTAAACATTTGTGTCTCTTGAGGTGAGCTTTTTATATCTTTCTTACAATCTGATGGGTCAATATTTAATTCCGTTTGAATGGCTTTCAAAATAGCACTTGATACCTTCTTTGCATGATTGTATAAAGTAGACTGCAATGATTTATCATGTGAATCTGTGGGTGAACTTTTGCTTTCACATTCCCAATCCATCATATTCTCTTTTTTATTTTCATCATTAAGACCACCAACATTTTCTACATTTCCACTGGCAAATAGTTCCAGTTTAGCAAAAACCATGTTAAGAATATCTGAAGCTAAAGTTTTCAGTTTATTTGGGCACATTCCTTTTGAGTTCTCAGTTTTGGAAGACACTGGGATATCAGTTTTTGCTTTATTTTTAGTAGTCTCTTTTTTACCCATAATCATTTTGGAAATTATGCTTGAGATTATGTTGGTGCATTTGGCCATTTCCTCCAGAATTGAATCAAATGATAGGTTGTCAATGTCAAGTGATTCTGAGACAGTTTTTGATCCAGAATTTACAATGCTGGTATCTATATCAATATCACATAGTTTTGCAAGCACATATTCCAGAATTGCTTTGGAAATGGGTTGAACATTAGATAGTGCTGGAGGATCCTTATGTGACTTCTCTGTGTTTTTCTGACTACAAGATGGTTGAGAATCATGATGGGTTCCTGGGAGTTTGCTTAACATTTCATGTAGTGTTTCTCCAATTTGATCTAACACCTTCAATTTGGGACTATCTTTCAAATCCTTTGTGTTGACGATGCTGTGGTGAATACAAGGTGTAGCCATATATTGTTGAAATGAATTTTTATCTTGCTTATTTGACAAAATGTTTTGTTTATTAGCATTGTCAGATCCACCTAGTGTTGTAGATACTGCCTTATCTGTAGAAGTTAAATTATTTGTTTGATTTTCATTTGTACTTGATATCATTTCACAAATATGTGTCATTAATGGACTTTCCTTAAGGTCATTGGCACTGCTGATATGGGAGTCTACTGCTTCATTGGCATCAGTGAACAACCCTTTGCTTGCATGACACTTGATATGGTCTGTCTCCCTAGTATTTGGGTTTAGCTTGTTGAGGCCTAGTTCATTCTGTATAGCATGTAAAACAATGTTGACTATTTTCATTGTATAAGCACTAAGTTGAGAATGTAATGATTTTTCTACCAGTGAAGATTTGTTGCCTCTCTGTAGTTTTGGACAAACAAATAACTTCAGACTTTTAAAAATTGTATTAATGATCTTATCAGTAATATCATTTACATGCTTAGGTTCACATTCTCTAGACCTTAACTTGGATGTCTTTTCAAGCTCTACATTGAGTGAAGATAAATATTTCATTTTCTTATCACTGTCAAACCATACTTTGAATGGTGTTTTACTTGATGTTTCTTTGGCTGTTTGTGGAGCATCTGAATGATCTAGACAAGTTTGATGAACTGGTGAAAAAGCATTTTTAATGGTATTAGGAATGTACTTAGAGGCCTTGTGGAGTATATTTATCACAGAATCTGTTATTCCATGTGCAAATGCACAAATTTCTGGCCCAGAGAACATCTGTCCCATACATTCTTGATTTGGTAGTCCTTGAGATTTTTCTGAGATGAAATCAGAGGTTTCTTCACTAGCTTTACTATCTGGGTAAGAAGATGAAACAGATGACATATCCTTGAACATCTCTGTTAAAATGTGTTTAACTATGTTTTCGGAAGCCTTTTGTATTTGATGCTTTTGGTCTTGGTTGAAAATCGGAGCATCATTAGTCAAGCATTGCTTTGTCTTCATACTGTCTTCACTACTAAGAGATAACTCCAAATTTAATCCCCAGTCATGAGATCCAGATTTGCTTTGAAAAGTTTTTGTTGGTAGTTTATTACTTCTTTTGGGTTCAAAACAAGTGTCTCTCTTCACAGACCAATCGTTAGTAATCTGCTCCTGTGATTTTGTTTTTTCATCATTGAAGGATGAATCAAGCACATTTTTCACGAGGTAGTCTATTTCCTCATCATCGTCTTCAGAATACAGAACCATGCCTGGGACATTAACAGGGGGAAATGGTCTTTTAGTTCTAAGATCATTAGATGACCTAGGACCAGTGAGTCTATACTTTTCTTCAGTATCAGGAAGATTTCTTACTCTAGGTTGTCTGTGTTTTTTAACACTTGCTTTTGCTGGCCCCTGGTGAAGCTGAGTTAAGACATCATCCAGGAGCTGAAGGAGTACTACTGTTTCTTCAGATGCAATAAGTCTCTCATTATTAAGTTCAGTTTGTACATAACCTAGTATAGTGCTTATTGCTTCTTCTACATAACCAACTAGAGAGGACTGTGAAAAAATGTTTGAAATTAAGTTTTGTATTTCTTCTTTCACAATGAGATTAGCAGTGTCAGATTCAGGACTAGATTTCCTTTGGTCAGGTTTTTTATGTAGTTTATGTGTTGGCTCTGTCTTTATTTGTTGGTGGAAATGTTTAGTCGTGTCTTCAGGAGGAAGTTCATTTTTCTTATAAGATGCAAGAGTCATCAACTTCTCTAAAATGGCATGTACCATATCATCGGCAATATCACACATTGGCTCCAAGGTGTAAGTCAATGTATCTTCTGAAGGTTTTGTATCTATGGATGAGAAATATTCTCCACTAGTTGAGAAGTGTGGTTTAATATCAACTGTCAAATCTTCTTGTGAAAACATCTGCACACATTTTTTCTCAACGGCAGACTCTAGCTTCTCAAGCATGTTTTCTACAATCTCTGAAGCTACTGAGCATATGTCAACATTTGAGACCAAGTCTTCTCTTTCTGTATCACTTTGATCAACAAAAACTTCAGCAGTCACAGAAGACAGAGAAGGAATAGCCTGGCTCAAGTCAGACATTATTTCTTGAAAAATACTTTCTAAAATAAGTTGTGTTTCTCCTTTCAAGTGACATTTAAAGTTCACAAAAACGTTCTTCAAATTTTTCATCTGATCCATGGCCTTTGCTTTTTGATCATATAGCATTGGAATCTCTAAGTTATCTGTTTCTGTGGTAGCATCTTTAGATTTTTTAGTGCTTGTTTCTAAGGATGTCATAAGGTGACTATCAGATTTACTGCTTCCTATCTTAGGAAATGGATATTGCAAGCTGCTTTTGTTGTAATTGACTTGTGAAGATATCGATTGTTCTCTCATATGATATGCTTTACCAATAACTGTTCTTTCAACATGTGCAGAAGGAGGTTTCAAAGGCGTGGGTGGTTTCTTCACTGGCGTGTCACCAGCAAATGTACAAGGATCTGCTGGAAATGTTTTATCTGTGTAACTTCTGTATGTAAAGCCCTCACTGCATGTACTACAGAAACTTGAACTATCAGAAGAAAGGTCTGAGTCATCAGACACTGGGTAAATATTTCTCTGTACTCTTTCTTCATATTTTGTGATAGCTGGATATAATATGCTGGTTACTGTAGCTACAACCCAGGTCATTATATTTTGAATTATGCTATTTAGTTCTTCAGAAGTTATCTAGAAAGAAAATAATCAGATAAAAAAGAAAACCATATCAATATTTATTCCATATTTGGGAGATATGAGTGTAGCATCTAATTTTTGTGTTAAAAATTATATACTAATTGTATATCATAATGAAACACCACCATCATTTATATTAAAATGAAGAAAGAACCTATTCAGAAATTTGGACTCTTTTAAGTTGATATAGTTCACACTGGAGATAAATATTTTTATCATAAAATTTCATTTTATTTGTATACCCTAAGAAACTATATAAATTATTTCCCAACATTTATAACTTGGGTAAATAACCTTAAAATTAAAGTTACCAAATTGCTGTTTAGTCACATCTTATGAGAAAACCCAATGTCGTATTCTTAACGCTGTTGTATATTTTGAAAACTGATTTTCAAAATATTTTTCCAAACAGATATAGTAAAAGTATTTTGGAGTCTTCAGAAGCATTTATATAGCTTCTATATGAGGATGAAAAATAATTAATCTTTACATATATTCCATGCCTTAGTAATAAGTACACAGTTTTTTTTCATAGAATACAAAAATTAGACTTGCTTGGCAGCTAACATGACCTATCAGTACAAACTATCTAAGAAAGCAGAAAATAGATGAATGAAAATACAGGACATGATAGAAAGGCTGAAATATTTTTCCCACTCAAAACATATCTATGTAAAACAGAAATTATCCATGTTTTAAGTTAATATTACAAGAAAAGTTAAAAATCTATCTAGCACCCTCTCAGTTGATCCATTTTGACATTCTTAGGAAGCACCTAATGAAAGGCCACTCAGCACTAATCCCCTAGTTTCTTAAGTGTTTCCTGCTGTTGTACATGATTGCTAATGTTTCAATAAGCACAGATTAATGTAACTGTAAGTATAAAAATCTTGGTTACATAAACACAGCCTTAATTGAAAATTATAATAATAAATCATAAATTTAAAAATAGATGATTATTCTAAATGAACAATACTGAATGTATATATTAAATATATAACATAGTTTCTCATACAAGCTATAATGAATAACAGAACCATACTGTTGTTCTTGAGCTAGGTGAAGGATAATGTATTTCCAACTGTATTATAAAAAGAGGGAAACTAAAGTTTTGCATTTAGCAAAAGGAGATTAAAGGAGTTTTAATTTTTCAATATTTTTCAATTATAATATTAAACAGAAAGCCATTCCTTTAACTGAAGTCTTGTGTGTGCTTCATGCCTTATTAACTGAGCAGGATTCAGTCATTGCTGTGATACTCCTCAAGGTTCCTGACTAGTCTGACTAGATTTAAGAGTTATTAAATGTTATTAAATGTTATTAAAACATACCATCTTTTCTTCTCCTGCTTCAAGTCTCAGCTCACAGGTGAGCGAATACCATTACCTGTGATCTTTGGTAGCAGGTTCTTCCCAAGAGAATTGTTAAAGACAAATTCAGGCATCTCAATTCATTCTCTACAGAATTTGCCATCAATATCTGCAAAGCTATACTGATTAATATCTCCTGAGAGATGAGACTCCATTATCTCATGCTGCTCAACAATGCTAGGTCCCTGAAATATTCTCCATGCTACACCCTAGAGGCCTTCCTAAAGTACCAGTAGTATTTTTGATAACAACTTTAAATTAGAAGGAAACTATTAAAATTATCTAAAAGTAAACTTCCATTACAATAAAAGGCAAAGGGTATGAACAACACAAATCAGTAGATGATTATTGGTATCTGATTTAAATGTTTTCCTAGAATGGCATATGATAATTAATATACTGTCTTATCAGTTGATTTTATAATACATACTTTATCTTGCAAGCAATTTTGTAGATTTTGCTGCCTGTAAAGTTAAGAAATAATTATGATTTAGTAAATTTAGGACAAACACTTTATGTAAATACTTTTTAAATTCCTATAAACTTTTTTCTTTTTATGAGAGACAGAGAGATATACATAAATACAAATACCTTAATCTTTATTTTGTTTTCTTCAGTGTTCTTATTTAATGGACTGCTAAGATACTGACCTATAGACTCAAAAGTATGCTTTATTTACTCAGGAGAGTAGAATCACAGTATGCAATTGATCACATAAACATGCATGTATGTGGTAGTTGGAACTCTGCTATCCCTTAGATATGTCTGTTTTGTGTTTCTGTGGAGTGACACAGGATAAGGCAGGAAGGAATAGATGATTAGTCTATTTTATCTACTAATAGAGATGATGGTATAGTAAGTTTTCAGATCACAGCTCTCTGACACTCCTTTAGCAGCATTTTAAGATCCTATAGTCCCATCCTTGTTTGGTTACATGTCATAGCCGAAAGAGAGCATGTGGATTATTGTTCAGTAACTAGTGGTTAGAATCATGGGTTGCTCGCTACAATCAATGCTACCTACAGTTATCTTCATGTAATGGTGTGATGAGCACATCCTTTCAATATTGTAATTAGATTTACTATTACATACTCATGAAATTAAGGATAGTTTTATGAATTTTAAAATGTATAAGAACTCAGTATTAGGCTCCAAGTGTGGTGGACTCACCCTGGCAGGACTGACCACCTGCAGTCAGCCCACACCTCAGGCTTGGGCCCTCCTCCTCCCTCTGCCTTTTGTTTGAGGTGAGTGTGGGCTCTGCTCAGGCAAAGCTCGACTGATAACCCCCTTGGAACTTTCTGGGCCTGTCCCGCGTGTGGTGGACCCACCCCAGCAGGAAAGACCAACCAGGGTCTGGCCACACCTCACACTTGGCCAGCCCTCTGCCCTCCACCCTCTCTGCTGGGCCCAGATCCCACCATGCCCCCATTGAAACTTCCTGACCCTGCTCCATGTGTAGTGGAATTGCCCTTGCAGGACTGACAACCTGAAGTCTGGCCACACCTCAGTCTTGGCTGCTCTGCTTTGCCCCATACCCTCTCCTTGAGTTTGATAGTCCAGACCATTCAGAGTTACAAGCACTGAAGTCTTGGCCTCCTTAAGCCACCAGGAGATTAGAGGAGAGGGAGAGACCCCACCTGCACCCATTCAAATAAGGGATGGAAAAACAACAGTATAAGAACACACGCAACAACAGAAAGAACAATAATATCACCACAATCTAGGGGCTCCATAACAACAAGACCTGAAAAGCCCAATGCAGACAAAGCAGAAGAAAAGGACCTTGAGAACTATTTGATGAAGATATTAGACACCCTCAGAGAGGAAATGAGAAAATCCCTTAAAGAAATGGAAGAAAAAAATACAGGAAATGGAGGAAAAGATAAACCAAAAAAAAATTCAAGAAATAAACAAATCCCATAAAGAATGCAAAGAAAGCCAAGAGAAAAAAAAACCAAGTGAAGGAAGTAATTTAAACAGTTCAAGGCTTAAAAGCTGAAACAGAAGCAATAAAGAAAACACAGAATGAGGGGATGTTGGAAATATAAAAGCTAGTTAAATGATCAGGAACTACAGATGTAAGTATAACCAATAGAATACAAGAAATGAAGAGAGAATCTCAGGTGTTGAAGACTGACTAGAGGCTATATACATTCATTGACAAAAGAAAATCTAAGTCCAACACATCACTAGCACAATATCCAGGAACTATGGCATACCAAGAAAAGGCCAAACCTAAGAATAATAGGTATAGAAGAAGGTGAAGAAATACAGCTCAAAGGTACAGAAAACATATTCAACAAAATCATAAGAAAACTTCCCCAACCTAAATAAGGATATACCTATGAAAGTACAAGAAGCTTAGAGTACACCAAATAGACTGAACTACAAAAAGAAGTCTCCTCACCACATAATTATTAAAACACCAAACTTACAGAATAAGGAAAATATATTAAGGACAGCAAAGGTAAAAGGCCAAGTAACATATAAAGGCAGACCTATCCGACACCCGACTTCTCAATGAAAACTCTGAAAGCCAGAAGGTCCTGGATGTTGGAACTGGTATGCTGACAATGGGTGGAATATGCAGCATTTAAGCAGATACTTAAGCAGCTCAAAGGGCCCTGTGTTGCCTGGCCATATCATGGCTACTTCACTCATTACAGGGATGCTTAAAGACTCAGTACACATGTGCAAGTTTCCCCTTATAAGCGAGAACCTCCATGTGTTTCACCCTTCCTCTTCCTCTTTGCTCTTTTACATTCTCTTACCCTCTTCATCTCTCTCTATTGCTCTTCCTCTCTCACTCCCTTGTCTCTCTTCCTCTCCCCCTCCCACACTAAAATAAGCTCTATGGTTAATATATCTCGTATTTCTTGTTCCATCTCACCATAATTTAAGCAAAAGAACAACACTGGATAGATGTTCTACAAATGCTAAGGGAACACGGATGCCAGCCCAAACTACTATACCTAGCAAAGCTTTCAATCAATATAGATGAAGAAAACAAGATATTCCATGGCAAAATCAGATTTAACTATATATACCACTAATCCAACACTACAGAAGGTTCTGGAAGGAAAACACCAACCTAAGGAAGTCAACTACACTCAGAAAAACATAGGCAATAGATAATCTCACTTTAACAAAAGCCAGAAATAGGGGAAAACTCACAAACAATACCAACACCACCAACAAATCCCAAACAAACAAGAATTAACAATCAATGGTCCTTAGTCTCCCTCAGCTTCAATGATCTTAACTTGACTATAAAAGACACAGGCTAACAGACTGGATACAAAGAAAGAATCCATCCTTCTGCTCCATACAAGAAACACATCTCAATGTCAAATATAGACGTTACCTCAGAATAAATACTTGGGAAAAGATTTTCCAATCAAATGGACCCAAGAAACAAGCTCGTGTAGCAATCCTCATATCTAACAAATTAGACTTCAAACTTAAATAAAAAAAAGAGAGATGAAGAAGGTCATTTCCGGAGGACCTAGGCCCTGCCCATGATCAAATGACAGTTATTGGAGATCCACTATGGAGTGCCTCACCCTCCTTGGGGATCAGATGGAGATTGGGTAGGGGACCAGAGGACCTGGTTGGGAGGGCAGGGAGGAGGGGAGGGAGATGGAGCTGGGATTTACATGTTAAATAAGATTGTTTCTAACCTAAATAAAAAATAATTAAAAAAAGAAGGTCATTTCCTATTCATTACAGGAAAATCCATCAAGATGAAGTCTCAATTCAGAACATCTCTGCCCCATACACAAAGGCATCCTCATTTGTAAAAGAAACATAAACTCAAGTCACACATAAAACCTCACATACTCATAGTGGGAGGCTTCAACATCCCATTCTGACCACTAGACCAGACCACCAGACAGAAATGTAACACAGAAATAATGGAATTAACAGAAGTTATGACCCAATTGGGTTTAAAACACGTCTGTAGAGCATTCCATCCAAACACAGAAGAATATACACTCTTCTCAGCACCACATGAAAACCTACCACATGCTTGACAACATAGCAAACCTCAACAGATACAAAACAATTGTAATAGCCCTCTGTATCTTATCAGACCATTGTGCTTTAAGATTAGAATCCAACAACAACACAAATTGCAGAAACCCTACAAAGTCATGGAAATTTAACAATTCACAATTGCACCATTCCTAGGTTATCAATGCTGATGAATGAATCCAACTTACATATTTTGAAAATGCCTTTACTTCTAAATTTAAATATAAGGTCAGGTTACTTTGTTTCCACAGAAAATGAAAAACTGTGGATTCCTTCCAGACTAGTATGGTTTGATGAAGCAAGACATCCTGAAGCAGTGTCCCAGGAAGTCCAGCATCTGAAACAACTGGGATGCAGGACCCACAGAAAAATGACTGCTGAACTTACAAAACAAGATGAACAGTCTCACAGGGGTCATGCTTCATGAAAGAGTCTGCCAGAAATTCTGCAGGACACAGAAAAATGACTGACAGACTGCCAATGCAGGCAGACAGTTTAAAATTTCCTGCTTTGCTCAGAAGTCTGCCAGACACACTGTGGCCTATGGATGCCCCAACATTATAGTGAAACTTTGGGTGACTGTCCAGGTAGCTAGATGTCTTTGTCAATTCTAGTGTTTATATATTATCCTCCTGTGGTCTTTGGTGAGTTGAAGCCAGATAGTTATAGTTTTCCTTAGATATGATAAAAGATAAGCTACATAAGGCTTTAGACTCACACAGATAGGACAGATGATAACATATTTTCTTTAAACCTTACTAAATATTAATGAACTAAATATTATAACTGTAGTTCTTACTCTATAACTGATCTGTTACATATAATTTTACTATGTTAAAGTTAAAAACTTTTTTTTTATTTAGATAGAAAAAAAGAGATGATGGGGGAAGTCCTATGTATATGTTTGTCCTATTGGTTGATAAATAAAGCACTGTTGATCAATAGGGAAGCAAGATAGGTTGGCATAGGAGAGGTGGAGGATTCTGGGAAATGGAGGTACAGTCAGTCACTGCATAGGATGCTAGAGAAGTAATAGGTCCAGATCCCTTCTTCAGTAAGAGAAGACCATGTAAAAATAGTCAGATTATCAGTTATGGGTTAATAATTAAGTCAGAGCTAGTGGATAAAAAACCATAGCAAATGCCAACACCTTCATAATGAATGTAGTGTCTTGTGTGTTATTTGGGGGTAGAGACAGTAGAAGGACCCAGGCTACTCTCTACCCAGGGAAAGAGTACACGTTACACAGTGCTAAGAGGAAAGTTCATAGCACTAAGTGCCCATATGAAGAAACTGGAGAATAGTAACACTAAAGAATTAACTTCACAACTGAAAGCTCTAGAACAAAAAGAAGCAAACTTACAGCAGAAAAGCAGATGCCATGAAATAATCAAATTGATGGCTGAAATCAATAAAGTCAAAACAA